GTATCATGTTGTTTTCACTTTCACTTCAGGTGGAAGCTTTTGCTGAACTCACTGCAGTAATATAATGTATGCCCTTTAGTGTGACTGCTCAAATGTCATGTAAGGCTATGTTTATATCTAAAACATTTGCCACATTATTTGCACTGGTAAGATTTCTCCCCTGTGTGAACACACTGATGAAGTCTTAAATAGCTCAATGTGATGTAACTTTTCCTGCATACAGGACACCTATATTGTTTCTCCCCTGTATGAGCTGTCATATGCGATGTCAATTCTATCTTCTGGTTGAAGGATTTGTCACATTGTTTGCACTGATATAGGGTCTCTCCCCTGTGTGTATCCTTGAATGGCTGGTCAAGTTGCTCTTATGGTTAAACATTTTGCCACATTGTTTGCACTGATAGGGATTCTCTCCTGTGTGTGTCCTTGAATGGATGGTCAAGTTGCTATTCTGGTTAAACCTTTTGCCACATTGTTTGCACAGAAAAGGTTTCTCTCCTGTGTGTATCTTTAAATGTAAGGTCAAGTTTCCCTTACGTGTAAAGCTTTTGCCACATTGTTTACACCAATATGGTTTTTCCACTGTAGCAGAGCAGTCTGGATGAATGGAGAGGGGCTGATCACTGGTTGGTTCTGGTACTTTGTAGCCCACTCCATCAGGTTCTGTTTTGATCTCTTCAGTTATGATGATAGGTAGAGTGCCCCACTCTCCGTCATCCACAGTTTGGTTTTGGTAGAGATATGAGGGCTGAGGTGAGTCCTGCTGACTGAGTCTGAGCTCCTGTTGTTCCTCTTTAATCTGTGTGGGTTCTGGGTCCTCCTGCCCCAGACTGGGGCTCCACTCCTGCTCACAGTTCTGCTGCTCAGGGGGAACAGTGGGAGTGAGTAGCTGGAAGTCTGGAGGGAAAAAAATATATTCAATCAATATTGACTTATTATCATAATAAGAAATCTGTACTTCTACTTGGAAGGCCTGTCTGTGCTAAAATAAAAACAAGACGATTTGTTGTCTAGTCTACACTGGTGGGAAGCATGAACATGAGCTCCCTGAATTCCCTGTAAGGGTGAAGGAGGCTGAGATTGCCAGGATAAGCTGTCCAGTGTCTCTTATGCCAAGGCAGCGAAAAGAGTGAAAGAAAGTGCTAGTGGGTCGCTTGCCATGGTGGAGACACCATAGTCTAGTGCTGTGGGTGCCGTTCTCCAGGTGCAGGATCCAGATACCCTCGTCGTGAAAAAGGGGGACTTTGCATTTATCGACTGCCGGAGTGGATAAGAACTCAAGAAAGATCGAGATCATCATATCTGCAGCTGAAGGATGTCATGGGCGAGGGGCTGCACAGAGTATTGGCTGAAGCAGTTCCATTCTGTCAGGTCCCCAGTAGGGAGGGTTCTGAGTGCATTTTGGATGACTGACGTTAAGTTTTTTTAATTGATTTTTGTTCCTTATTTTTAATGTTTATTTTTGGGGGGTCCCTCCAACTGGTAATTACTAGTGGGAAATTCATCTATCATTCCTGATCTCCCATTTATCCCACATGCTGAACTCTGACGTCACACATTAAGGAAAGTATCTCAATATTGGCATTTTTGGCCGGTAAATGCAACAACAAAACATTATTTATAAAAAAGCAATCTATGAATATGGTTTTTGAACACAATAATTTGTTTGTGAGCATGATAGCTGTACTTTTAGTTTATGGTTGAAGCAGCTTGTTTGCCATTAGCCAATCGGCGTTTCTCAACTATTTCAAAGCACGTGAATGCATCCAACTCCTATTTACCACTTCACATCTAGTAATTACCACCTTCCCACTTGGTTATGAATGAAGCATCTACACCAGAGACAGTATAGAAACCGAGACTCCTCATTGGCTCACATTTTCTGGTTGGCGCATAAGTAGACTAACCTCATTTATAACCGTTGCAAAATTTCACACTAAATATCCGCGTGCGCCATTTCTGAAATGATTGCGCACATACAAAAATATTTAGATTGATCAACTTGGCACACGCCATACATACGCATGTTACTGTTATAAATCAGACCTGTCCTGAACGTGAACGAGCATTAAAACTCAGCCTGAAAAACGCCCATCATTCACCTTGTATGGTGACAATAACGCCCTTATTTGCTGTATACTTTAAAAGTATTTGAATTAGGCTGAGGCAATTTTCTAAAGGAAATAGCAATAGCGAACTTGATCAAATGTCTTTGGAGGTGATGGCAGAATGTTCAACTTTTGCAGTGACATTTGCTGTAGGCCTAGGCTGACAGACAAAAAGTTTATGAAAGACAACAATTGCAAATTGCTGTGGACCTGTAAACAGATCATTTGAATTTAATAGGGCCTAATGTTTTGCATTGACTTTTTCTCAAACCTATGCTGCACTGCCCACGAATTCTGAAACATTGTCTACTTACAGTGGTAGCCATATACATCAATGCAAAATATCAACTGTCTGTTCACTTGTTAAATTCTACTTTATGTTATAAACCACACTTCCTCTCTGATGTATAGAGCAAAATACCTGAAATAATAGCCTATCTAATAGGCCCAGTGAAACGAGAGATAGACATGGTAATTTGTTGGAGGCTATGGCTACTTCGTGAATATGAACCCATCATGGCCAGAAAAGGTGAAGAATTTATTTTACAATGGTTATGAAAAGGTATGTGTATAAAGCCAATATTGTCTACTGAAGAACTGAGAAATTACAGTATTCAGACGTAAGCTACAGAAGGAACCTACACCTTAATAACCTGCGCTCCGGATCGGATGGCATACTGCAAAATACTTGAAATACTGTAGCTTATCTATTGACTGCTGTGAAGTGGGTCCAACTAAACGAGAAATGGGACGAATGGTATCCTTGTTGTAGGCCTATAGGCTACCTCATGAGTATGAAACCATCGCAAAAAGGTGAGGAATTTATTATGCAATGAAATAAATAATAGCCTAGGAAATATACCCATTTCTAATTATTTAAAAATTCAAAGAAACTAAATAGACTTTCTCTCCTCACTAATGGAAAATGATTGCATCTTGTTATTAACCGGTTTATTGTTATGAATAAGCGTGTCCATCATATGCCCCTTTTGCACAAAATACTAATCTACTTGCAATGCAATACTTCAACCACTAGAAAGTGTGTGTACGCATGGTCTAAAGCAGGGTTCTTCAATTCCGGTCCTGGAGGGCCGAAACACCTCTGTTTTTCATCCTCTCCTTCTAATCAGGGGCTAATTCAGACCTGGGACACCAGGTGAGTGCAATTAACTACCAGGTAGAAATAAAAAACAGAAGTGTTTCGGCCCTCCAGGACCGGAATTGAAGAACACTGGTCTAAAGTTTGCGGGAAGGTGAGCTCATTTTCACGTCAACATCAGTTTTTATAAATGCCTAATTTTATGTGAAAACTAGTGCACGCATGTTTTGTGGTATATTTTGCAAGTACCCGCAGTTTATAAATGAGGCCCCAGATCCAGCTGCTATCGCATTGGTGACTATGAAAGAACCATAGGATCTGACCGAATCTGACAGACAAAAAGGTTATGAAAGACAACAATTGCAAATTGCTGTGGACCTGTAAACATATCGTTTGAATTTAATAGGGCCTGTTTTGCATGGACTTTTTCTCAAACCTATGCTGCACTGCCCACGAATTCTGAAAGTGTCTACTTACAGTGGTAGCCATATACTTCAATGCAAAAGATCAACTGTCTGTTCAGCTGATATCGCATTGGTGACTATGAGACAGCCATAGGATGTGACTGAATATTACTGATTCTCCCCACACACAGTAACTGGAGTAAATGAGAAGCCGAAAGTATTCTGAGCACAAATTGACGTTTTTCCAAAATTAGTAGAAAAACAACTGTTCGAGGTCTGTGCTAGTTCTTAAAAGCGCCTGTGGCAGTTCTTAGGCCTGGGTTGCGTTCAGTACATAACGTAAAATAATGTTAAATTGAACGGAAACCATGCTGAACGTAATAGAACGTTCAATTGAACGGAAAAGGTTGGGTTGTGGGTTCAAAATGCACCGCTGCCCTTTAAATACGTTACTTATTGCTTCAAGCCACACCCCGGCATCCCCACCGAACAGAACAAACATATCTCAAAGTCTGTTCAAGAACGTAAAAGACAAACCGTTCCGCAAAGTTTCAAACGAACCGCTAGGCGGTATTGCCTGATACATACGGGTGTGACCATGAGGGGATTCGATGCATGCTCCTGGTGAAACGGGTTTTACGTTGATTGCATTCAATTTGGAACCGGGCTGCCTCCCGGGCGTGAGCCACGTGTCCCATTCTGGCCGATGAGCAAAGTCGCCTCAAAACAAAACGGATGTAGGTTAAGCACGTGGAGTAATGAGTAGGATTGACATGCATAAGTGATTGCTTTGGATAAAAACGTTTTATCTGCCTTCCCAATGAAAACTAGTTTGAAAATTCGAACATATATGTTATGGAGAAGAGATGTTGTATGTTTCTGAATTATGCACCATGCTCCATTGTTGACAATATGACCGAGTAGCGCAGATTACCATTAGATTTTAGTAGGGCGTGCCTCACTCACCGGCCCGGGCTACCGGTTCAACAGAATCCCCTCAGTCTGAAATCGCAAAAAGTCCTGCATCACTGTGGTAACTGCCCTCTGAGCCACCATAATTCAACTAGTCGTTCCGTTTCCATTTAATTCAACGTTGCACCCCTTTCTGTCGTACTGAACCCAACCCTGGTCTACACTACAGCACGTGATTCAAAAAAGCAATGTTGGCAAACCAGGGGTGTATTCATTACACCGATTCTGTTGCAAAACGTTTCTTAAACGGAAGCAAACGGAACGATACGGGAAGGGACCTACCGGAATTTGTTCAAATGCACTAATGATTACACCCCTGAGTTGCGTTCAGGGAGCGAATAGCAAAACGTGCCTCATACATTGTCTAGCAACGTTATTCTACAAGTAAAATATTGTTACAACTCTAACGTTAACTCGCTACAGACCTGTTCTGTGTAACTTTATATCTGGTTTAATAACCATGTCCATCTCCCTCCGTAGACGATCGTTCTCCTCTGCTGAACGGAATATTTCTTCCTGATACTCTGCTATGGTCTTCTCTACGGCCTCGAATATCTCCGCAGCAGTCGCCGACAAACGTTCCGTGACGAACACATTCAGCAACTGTAGTTTGGACATATTGGCGAGGGCAATGAAATCTAGCTGTTTGTTTTATCAAAAAAATGTTGAAACGTCTACCTGCTTCAGCCTAGCGGGTTTACGGTACCTGGTAGATACCTTTGTAACAACAACGTCACGTGCTGTGTTTTCACCAACCGTGGACAGTGTAAAAGAGGCTGCATTACATTAGCGCCACCTGACGTCTTGGAGCACGTCAAACATTGTCAAACCATGTCAGGAGGCCGTCAATTAACTGGGAGAAGTTTAAAATTGATTGGCCTCCAGGCAAGCAACAAGAGCCATGTCGTCTGCATATTTGAGTGAGGTCATTGTTTTTGCATGCCATTTCATTTGTGTATACGGAGAACAGGCGTGTGTGCTCTGTGGTAGATACAGTGGTGAGGGCTTCCTGAAGCCAGCAGTGTCCTGGAGGGTAGGTCCCTGAAAGTGAGAGCTAGATTCAGTTTATCAATCTGATAATGACTGATGCTTTCCCATCCACAAATGACACAATTTGTTCTGTTATCAATTTCCAGAAAACAGAATGTAAAACTTATTCACAAGTTGGATGTGTCAAGAAATGCACAATGACAAAGTATGCATTTGTTTAAACTTCAGATTCACTTCAGGTTGAATATTTTATGTATCCCCTTTTGAGTGCTCATATGAGACTTCAAGTTTCCTTTCAAACTAAAGCATTTGCCACATTCTTTGCACTGGTAAGATTTATCCCATGTGAACACGCTGATGACATCTTAGATACACTATATAAACTCAGCAAAAAAAGAAACGTCCCTTTTTCAGGACCCTGTCTTTCAAAGATAATTCGTTAAAAAAATCCAAATAACTTCACAGATCTTCATTGTAAAGGGTTTAAACACTGTTTCCCATGCTTGTTCAATGAACCATAAACAATTAATGAACATGCACCTGTGGAACGGTCATTAAGACACTAACAGCTTACAGACGGTAGGCAATTAAGGTCACAGTTATGAAAACTTAGGACACTAAAGAGGCCTTTCTACTGACTCTGAAAAACACCAAAAGAAAGATGCCCAGGGACCCTGCTCATCTGCGTGAACGTGCCTTAGGCATGCTACAAGGAGGCATGATGTGGCCAGGGCAATAAATTGCAATGTCCGTACTGTGAGACGCCTAAGACAGCGCTACAGGGAGACAGGACGGACAGCTGATCGTCCTCGCAGTGGCAGATTACGTGTAACAACACCTGCACAGGATCGGTACATCCGAACATCACACCTGCGGGACAGGTACAGGATGGCAACAACAACTGCCCGAGTTACACCAGGAACGCACAATCCCTCCATCAGTGCTCAGACTGTCCGCAATAGGCTGAGAGAGGCTGGACTGAGGGCTTGTAGGCCTGTTGTCTGGTGAGGACCTGCCTTACATCACCGGCAACAACGTCGCCTATGGGCACAAACCCACCGTCGCTGGACCAGAGAGGACTGGAAAAAAGTGCTCTTCACTGACGAGTCGCAGTTTTGTCTCACCAGGGGTGATGGTCGGATTCGCGTTTATCGCCGAGGCCTGTACTCTGGAGCGGGATTGATTTGGAGGTGGAGGGTCTGTCATGGTCTGGGGCGGTGTGTCACAGCATCATCGGACTGAGCTTGTTGTCATTGCAGGCAATCTCAACGCCGTGCGTTACAGGGAAGACATCCTCCTCCCTCATGTGGGACCCTTCCTGCAGGCTCATCCTGACATGAACCTCCAGCATGACAATGCCACCAGCCATACTGCTCGTTCTGTGCGTGATTTCCTGCAAGACAGGAATGTCAGTGTTCTGCCATGGCCAGCGACGAGCCCAGATCTCAATCCCATTGAGCACGTCTGGGACCTGTTGGATCGGAGAGTGAGGGCTAGGGCCATTCCCCCAGAAATGTCAGGGAACTTGCAGGTGCCTTGGTGGAAGAGTGGGGTAACATCTCACAGCAAGAACTGGCAAATCTGGTGCAGTCCATGAGAAGGAGATGCACTGCAGTACTTAATGCAGCTGGTGGCCACACCAGATACTGACTGTTACTTTTGATTTTTACCCCCCCTTTGTTTAGGGACGCATTATTCAATTTATGTTAGTCACATGTCTGTGGAACTTGTTCAGTTTATGTCTCAGTTGTTGAATCTTGTTATGTTCATCCAAATATTTACACATGTTAAGTTTGCTGAAAATAAACACGGTTGACAGTGAGAGGACGTTTCTTTTTTTGCTGAGTTTATATATAAAAGTATGTGGACACCCCTTCAAATTAGTGGATTTGGCTATTTCAGCCACACCCGTTGCTGACAGGTGTATAAAATCGAACACAGCCATGCAATCACCATAGACAAACATTGGCAGTAGAATGGCTTTACTGAAGAGCTCAGTTACTTTTAATGTGGCACCGTCATAGGATGACACCTTTCCAACAAGTCAGTTTGTCAAATTTCTGTCAATTTTCATGGTTCGGGCTAGGCCCCTTAGATCCAGTGAAGGGAAATCTTAACGCTACAGGATAAAATGACATTCTAGACGATTCTGTGCTTCTAACTTTGTGGCAACAGTTTGGGGAAGGTCCTTTCCTGTTTCAGCATGACAATGCCCCCGTGCACGACAATGCCCCCGTGCACAAAGCGAGGTCCATACATAAATGGTTTGTCGAGATCGATGTGGAAGAACACGAATGGCCTGCACAGAGCCCTGACATCAACCCCATCGAACCCTTTTGGGATGAATTGGAACGCTGACTGCGAGTCAGGCCTAATCGTCCAACATTAGTGCCCAACCTCACTATTGCTTTTGTGGCTGAATGGAAGCAAGTCCCCGCAGCAATGTTCCAACATCTAGTGGAAAGCCTTCCTAGAAGAGTGGAGGCTGTTATAGCAGCAAAGGGGGGGGGACCAACTCCATATTAATGCCCATGATTTTGGAATGAGATGTTCGACGAGCAGGTGTCCACATACTTTTGGTCATGTAGTGTACCTTAATGCGATGTCACTTTTCCTGCATTCAGGACAGCTACTATATATGTTCTCACCCCTGTATGATACTACTGCACTGTTGGAGCTAGGAACACAAGCATTTCGCTACACCCGCAATAACATCTGCTAAATATGTGTATGTGACCAATAAAATTTGATTTGAACTCTCATATGCAATGTGAATTGTATCTTCTGGTTGAAGGCTTTGCCACAGTCTTTACACTGATATGATATCTCCCCTGTGTGTATCCTTGAATGGATGGTCAAGTCTCCCTTACATGTGAAGCTGTTGCCACATTGTTTACACCGATATTGATGTTTTCGTGAGAAGACCGATTTTCGTGATGTCTCATGGTCTGACAAACACCGCTCTAGCTCTGCCACCTTTCACCGCAGATGCGGAAGTGCGACATAGGCGGATTGAGACGCATTCCAATAAATAAATACAATAAATCAGATTTTTATGGGTTATTTTTTTATTATGTTACTTATATTGACGCACCGCTGCTTCAATGGACTCTAGGGGGTTAAACTGGAAAGGTAGTTTGTTTGCTGCATTATGTCAAAACAAATGTGATAGGCTACATCAATATTCTAACATGCAGCTTAAAATGTGTGTCTTGCTCCACGTCCTTTCATGGTGACATGCGCTCTCTTTCGAGAGAGGGGCTCCCGTTATTCCGCATCTTACCACCAAGGCATAGTTCTTTAGTCTTGGTGAAATTGACGTCAATTAAGCTATTGTCAAACCATGTCACAAGGCCATCAATTAACTGGGAGAAACTTGAGCTGGATTTGCCTCCAGGCAAGAAACCAGAGCCATGCCGTCCACATACAGGTATTTGATGAAGGTGAGGTCACTGTTCTTTCATACCATTGTAATTTGTGTATACGGAGAACAGGAGTGTGTGCTCTGTGCTAAACACAGCGGTGAGGGCTTCCTGAAGCCAGCAGTGTCCTGGAGGGTAGGTCCCTGAAAGTGAGAGCTAGATTCAGCAAACAAATCTGATAATGACTGATGCTTTTCCCTCCACACACATTACACAATTTGTTCTGTTGTCATTTGCCAGAAAACAGAACATAATTATTCACAATTACTTTCAGGCTGAAGCTTTTGCAGCACTCAGTGCAGTAATATTATTCAAGCCCTTTAGTATGAGTGCTCATATGTGATGTTAGGCGATGTTTATAACCAAAGCATTTGTCACATTCTTTGCACTGGTAAGGTTTCTCCCCTGTGTGAACACGCTGATGACGTCTTAAATAGCTTAATGTTATGTAACTTTTCCTGCATACAGGACAGCTATATGGTCTCTCCCCTGTATGAGCTGTCATATGCAATGTCAATTCTATCTTCTGGTTGAAGGCTTTGTCACAGTCTTTGCACGAATATGGTCTCTCTCCTGTGTGTATCCTTGAATGGACTGTCAAGCTTCCCTTCTGGCTAAACCTTTTGCCACATTGTTTGCACTGATATGGATTCTCTCCTGTGTGTACCCTTGCATGCCTGTCCAAATCGCCCTTCTGGATGAAGCGTTTGCCACATTGTTTGCACAGATAAGATTTCTCTCCTGTGTGTATCTTTGAATGGATGGTCAAGTGTCCCTTACATGTGAAGCTGTTGCCACATTGTTTACACTGATATGGTTTCTCCACTGCAGCAGAGCAGTCTGGATGAACTGAGAAGGGCTGATCACTAGTTGGTTCTGGTACTTTGTAGCCCTCTCCATCAGGTTCTGTTTTGACCTCTTCAATTATGATGATAGGTAGAGTGCCCCTCTCTCCGTCATCCACAGTTTGGTTTTGGTAAAGATGTGAGGGCTGAGGTGAGTCCTCCTGACTGAGTCTGAGCTCCTGTTGTTCCTCTTTAATCTGTGTGGGTTCTGGGTCCTCCTGCCCCAGACTGGGGCTCCACTCCTGCTCACAGTTCTGCTGCTCAGGGGGAACAGTGGGAGTGAGTAGCTGGAAGTCTGGAGGGAAAAATATATATTCAAATCAATATTTTGACTTATTATCTTGATACAATATCTGTAATTTTTGCCTCTCTGTGCTCAAAAATAAGACTATTTTGTTGACTGGTCTACACTACAGCATGGAAAAGGCTTTATGGACACTCCTGACATACAAAAATATATTTAATTTCAGAATTTGTTCGAATTAGGTTAAGTTTATGGTTAGGGTTAAGGGTTTTGTTAGGGTTAAGGTAAGGGTCAGTTTTAGATTTTGGTTAGTTGTTTACAGGACAGGTGTGTCCTTATAGCCGCTACCCCAGCACGTGATTTAACAAAGCAATGTTGGCGAACCAGAGTTGCGTTCAACGGTGCAGCATAGCCAGAGAGGAAAACGGTTTCCACTAGTTACCACAGCCACGTCGTCAAAATTGGCTAAATCGCAAAAAAAATCACAAAAACGAAAATGTGCTTCTTGATCTTAATTTATGGTTAGGGTACTGCTGTGGTTAAGGTTAGGTTAACATTTTAAAGATAAATATTTTAAATATGCGGGGTTTATGGCATTGTGGCTGTGGTAACTAGTGACGACCAAGGAAGAGACGAAGCTCTTTGGCATGGGAGACGCTTTACGGACACGCCTGGTGCACAAAATGGATGACGTATGTCGCGTAGAGCGAGTGGAGTGGCGACGAACGGATTCTGTTCAGTCAGTCATTGTAACCAGCCCTCCCCAGCTAGCTACAGTAGTTCTCTTTTGTTTTCGTAACGGGTCGCCAAACGACCTATGGGAACTCTGGAGCTCTGTCAGTGACCATCGGGTTCTTGGTCACCTCCCTGACCAAGGCCCTTCTTCCTCAATTGCTCAGTTTAGCCGGGTGTCCAGCTCTAGCAAGAGTCTTGGTGGTTCCCTTCACGTGATGTGATTGAGACGCTTAATGTGGAGAATTTGAAACTTCTCTGCCGAAGTTGGAACTTGGGAGATTGTTCAGATTCATTCCATTTTTATCTGAGTAACCAACAACCATGGATAACCACAAGGAGAATAAGGTGAGGAAAAGTCCATGTCAGTCAGGCCCTTCTTTTTTAAAGAAACACAATTTAATTATCTCTCTATTTGAGCAAAATAAGTGTTTTTGTTGTGATCACAAGAAAATCCTAACAATTCAGGTAAAGAGCACCAGTCAGGCAGAAACATCTGAATGCTCTTTCAATTAGTTTCCCTGGCTGATATGGCTGCTACTTAGAAATACTATAACAGTAAACAATTGGATGACATTCACTGCTATAAACCTGTCTCCAATATAATCGCATAGTTTACACAGACCCACTGTGGACCTTTGACAAATAAATCTCTGTGTGAAAAGGCGTCCCATGGTCTGTTTTTGTCAACGAGCTCAATGTATTCCAAACACTGGTGGTAATCAGATGATCCCAATAATTCAGCTAGTATACGATGGTACAGTACAGTGCATTCAGAAAGTATTCAGACCCCTTGACTTTGTCCACATTTTGTTACGTTACAGCCTTATTCTAAAATTGATTAAATTGTCGCCCCCCCCCCCCCCTCATCAATCTACACACAATACCCCATAATGACAAAGCAAAAACAGGTTTAGAAATTTTTGCAAATGTATTAAAAAAAATATTAAAATGAAATATTACATTATTAAGTATTCAGACCCTTTACTCTGTACTTTGTTGAAGCACCTTTGGCAGCAATTACCACCTCGATTCTTCTTGGGTATGACGCTACAAGCTTGGCACACCTGTATTTGGGGCGTTCTTCTCTGCAGATCCTCTCAAGCTCTGTCATGTTGGATAGGGAGTGTCGCTGCACAGCTATTTTCAGGTCTCTCCAGAGATGTTCGATCGGGTTCAAGTCCGGGCTCTGGCTGGGCCACTCAAGAACATTCAGAGACTTGTCCCGAAGCCACTCCTGCGTTGTCTTGGCTGTGTGCTTAGGGTCGTTGTTGTTATCCTGTTGGAAGGTGAACCTTCGCCCCAGTCTGAGGTCCTGAGCGCTCTGGAGCAGGTTTTCATCAAGGATCTCTCTGTACTTTTCTCCGTTCATCTTTCCCTTGACTAGTCTCCCAGTCCCTGCTGCTGAAAAACATCCCCACAGAATGATGCTGCCACCACCATGCTTCACCGTAGGGATGGTGCCAGGTTTCCCCACAGCATGATGCTGCCAACACCATGCTTCACCGTTGGGATGGTGCCAGGTTTCCTCCAGACGTGACGCTTGGTATTCAGGCCAAAGAGTTCAATCTTGGTTTCATCAGACCAGAGAATCTTGTTTCTCATGGTCTGAGAGTCCTTTAGGTGCCTTTTGTCAAACTCCAAGCGGGCTGTCATGTGCCTTTTACTGAGGAGTGGCTTCCGTCTGGCCACTCTACCATAAAGGCCTGATTGGTGGAGTGCTGCAGAGATGGTTGTCCTTCTGGAAGGTTCTCCCATCTACATAGAGGAACTCTGGAGCTCTGTCAGTGACCTTCTTCCTCGATTGCTCAGTTTAGCCGGGTGTCCAGCTCTAGGAAGAGTCTTGGTGGTTCCAAACTTCTTCCATTTAAGAATGATGGAGGCCACTGTGTTCTTGGGGACCTTCAATGCTGCAGAAATGTTTTGGTACCCCTCCCCAGATCTGTGCCTCGACAATTCTGTCTCGGAGCTCTACGGACAATTCCTTCGACCTCATGGCTTGGTTTTTGCTCTGACATGCACTGTCAACGGTGGGACCTTATATAGACAGGTGCGTGCCTTTCCAAATCATGTCCAATCAATTGAATTTACCACAGGTGGACTCCAATCAAGTTGTAGAAACATCAAGGATCAATGGAAAGTCTAATACCAAAGGGTCTGAATACTTATGTAAATAAGGTAGCTGTTTTTTACTTTCAATAAATTTGGAACAATTCTAAAAACCTGTTTTCGCTGTGTTATTGTGGGGTATTTTGAGTAGATTGATGAGGGGAAAAAATAATTTCATCAATTTTAGAATACGGCTGTAACGTAACAAAATGGGGAAAAGGGGAAGGTGTTTGAATACTTTCCGAATGCACTGTATGTTCTACTTACTACTTAAAGATATTTTACTTATTAAGTCAAAGACGAAATTAACTGCAACACACTGGTCTCAAATATATTAGCATAACTAGGCTACACTGAACCACGGCGGATCCAATGTATGAGAGGCTTTTTTTCATATTAAAATGTGTCCCAGTGCAACATACCTAGTTTTGCCCACTGGGTAGGGCGAGGCTTACGGAGCTCTCTTTGAAATAAGCACTCGTAACGCAGTATTCCAACGGATCGAGTTTGTCGTTACGTTAGCTAATTGGCAGGTCACGGTGATATCTAGAATGGTGATACTACAAGTTATTTCTCCCTCGCCCATCGAAATAAACATCACTTTCTTTTACACGTTTTAACTACAGCTATGCGGTTGTTGACAGCATAAACTTGTCTCATCAGGACGACTGACAACCGAATCCATTCGTCTCAACTGCGCGATATACGTCATCAATTTGGGCATGTCAGTTTAGCTTCTCCCCTTTGGCATATCACAACGTGCCACATGAATCTAGTCTATAAGTCAAATCTCGTTACAACTGTATTTCGCTACAAACCTGCTCTGTGTAACGTTTTCTGTGGTTTGCTAACCATGTCCAACTGCCTCCGATGACGCTCGTTCGCCTCTGCTGAACGGCAGATTTCTTCCTGATACTCTGCTATGGTCTTCTCCACGGCCCCGAATATCTCCACAGCAGCCGCCGATAAACGCTCGGTGACGAACACATTCAACAACTGTAGTTTGGACATATTGGCGATGGTTATGAAAGTCTAGCTGTTCGTTTTATTAAAGAAATGTTGGTTGAAACCTCTCTCACTGATTCTGCGTACCGGCCGATAGCGACCTTTGAACAATGGACGGTGTTTTCCTTTCAGTAAAGGTTGTCTGTGAAAAAAAGACTCAATTACAATAGCGACACCTGCGGTCTTGGAGCATTTAATGGAAAACCAGTTATTGGATGCAATCCCCACACCAAATTGAGTTTTGATTTCTAACTGTTGTCAGTCAGCATATTCCAAAATATTTCCTGTTATGGTACAACGAGATCTTTGAGCCACATTACCTGGACCACCAAGATGAGCTTTGCCCTCAGTTTCAATATGGGTCCCAAACAGACAAAACACCGTTTTTTTTCCCCATGCCTTTGTCTTGTCTTTTAGTTCCTTCTCATTAAAGCTGCAATATGTAACTTTTGGGGCGACACGACCAAATTCACTTAGAAATGGTAGTTATAGATCTGTCACTCATTGAAAGCAGGTCTAAGAAGTGGTAGATCTGTTCTATGTGCAGTATTTATATGCTTCCAGTTCTTACGTTTAGTTTTTGCATCTTTTACTTTCGGTTGTACAACAGCTTCAAACAGCTGTAAATACAATGTTTTTGGTTATGGAAAATATATTTTACAGCGGTTTAGATGGTACAAGGACTCTCTACACTATACTTGCTTATTTTGTCACATGAACTTAAATTAGGCGAACTATTACAATTTTAGCAACCAATAAATGGCGGAGCGATTTCTGTATAAATCAAATCAAATCAAATTATATTTGTCACATACACGTGTTAAGCATATGTTATTGCGTGTGTAGCGAAATGCTTGTGCTTCTAGCTCCAACAGTGCAGTAATATCTAACAAGTAATATCTAACAATTTCACAACATATACCTAATACACACAAATCTAGTAAGGAATGTAGTGGAACAGGTTGAGAGCTTCAAGTTCCTTGGTGTCCACATCACCAACGAACTATCATGGTCCAAACACACCAAGACAGTCGTGAAGAGGGCACGACAAAGCCTATTCCCCCTCAGGAGACTGAAAAGATTTGGCATGGGTCCTCAGATCCTCAAAAGATTCTACAGCTGCACCATCGAGAGCATCCTGACTGGTTGCATCACCGCCTGGTATGGGAACTGCTTGGCCTGCAAGGCACTACAGAGGGTAGTGCGTACGGCCCAGTACATCACTGGGGCCAAGCGTCCTGCCATCCAGGACCTCTATACCAAGCGGTGTCAGAGGAAGGCCCTCAAAATTGTCAAAGACTCCAGCCACCCTAGTCATAGACTGTTCTCTCTGCTACCGCACGGCAAGCGGTACCGGAGTGCCAAGTCTAGGTCCAAAAGACTTCTCAACAGCTTCTACCCCCAAGCCATAAGACTCCTGAACAGCTAATCATGGCTACCCAGACTATTTGCACTGCCCCCCACCCCATCCTTTTTACGCTGCTGCTACTCTGTTAATTATTTATGCATAGTCACTTTAACTCTACCCACATGTACATATTACTTCAACTACCTCAACTAGCCGGTGCCCCCGCACATTGACTCTGCACCGGTACCCCCCTGTATATATAGCCTCCCTACTGTTATTTTATTTGACTTCTGCTCTTTTTTTTCTCAACACTTTTTTTGTTAAAAATAAATGCACTGTTGGTTAAGGGCTGTAAGTAAGCATTTCACTGTGATGTCTGCACCTGTTGTATTCGGCGCATGTGACCAATACAATTTGATTTGAATGGAATTTAAGAATATATACATATGGACAAGCAATGACAGTGGCATGAACTAAGATACAGTAGAATATTATAGAATACAGTATATACATATGAGATGAGTAGTGCAAGATATGTAAACATTATTAAAGTGACTAGTGTTCCATTTCTTAAAGTGGCCAGTGATTTCAATAGGCAGCAACAGCCTCTAATGTGCTAGTGATGGCTATTTAACAGTCTGATGGCCTTGAGATAGAAGCTGTTTTTCATTCTCTCGGTCCCAGCTTTGATGCACCTGTACTGACCTCGCCTTCTGGATGATAGCGGGGTGAACAGGCAGTGGCTCGGGTGGTTGATGTCCTTGATTATCTTTTTGGCCTTCCTGTGACATCGGGTGCTGTAGGTGTCTTGGAAGGCGGGTAGTTTACCCCCGGTAATGCGTTTGGCAGACTGTACCACCCTCTGGAGAGCCCTGGTACGGCAACTGCACCGCCCGCAACTGCAGGGCTCTCCAGAGGGTGATGCGGTCTGCCGAACTGTGATACAGCCCGATAGGATGCTCTCAATTGTACATCTGTAAAAGTTTGAGGGTTTTAGGTGCCAAGCCACATTTCTTCAGCCTTCTTCACCACACTGTCTGCGTGGGTGGACCATTTCAGTTTGTCAGTGATGTGTACGCCAAGGAACTTGAAGCTTTCCACCTTCTCCACTGCGGTCCCATCGATGTGGATAGGGGGGTGCACCCTCTGCTGTTTCCTGAACTCCATGATCATCTCCTTTGTTTTGTTGACGTTGAGTGAGAGGTTATTTTCCTGGCACCACACTCCCAGAGCCCTCACCTCCTCCCTGTAGGCGGTCTCGTCATTGTTGGTAATCAAGCCTACTACTGTTGAGCACCCCCAAAGTTTCTAACGCCTTGAACACACCTACAGTGTCATTGGGCAAAATGGTACGCAGCATCATCTGCATATGTGTGCAACAAAAGTTAAACTTTCATCTTCTGCCACCATTTCCTTCAAGCCATCTACACATCCAATTTGATGCATACGTTCGATAAATCCAATGTATGCACCACACAGAAAGCACTGCAACTGCCTTTGCAACGCAATGCTGCAAGGCAAACGCAGTGTTCAATTGGAAATTCATGTAGTTCTGGTGTACCAAAATACAATGACGCTGTCGGTGTGATCGAGGCGTAAAACCAGAGGCGCAACATCTCGAGTCTTCCGGGATGCTTGCAAAACAGACCAAGCAGAGGTGAATTGAAAAAATTGAAAAAATCTTCCATAGTTGTTAATTTTCTCAATCTAAAGGCACAACCTTGATTCGAGCCAATGTCTTAAGTAGTTTAACATGTTATTACTCCAACCTTGTGAAAGTGACACGTTTTAATTTATCAAACAACTTTATATGGAAGGAGTGCCTTTGATTTGACAGCCTGCACATGCGCAGTTCGGGGTGAGATGACCGTTAGACCCGGTGACGTGTTTCTGAGCATGTGCTTAGCTGGCCAATGACGCCATGACATCGCCTACAAGTGTGATCGGGATTTCTATTGGAGAAGCAGTTTCTGCCCCTCTTCATACTGTACTGTCTTTGGTGCACCTTTAAAACATCAAGTCCCAGGAGACACCAGCTGAGAGGAGGTAAATGTTGACCCTAACCAGTAACACAGGGTCAGGGGTTCTATTCACAAAGCGTTTTAGAGTAGGGGTGCTGATCTAGGATCAGTTTAGCATTTTAAATTATAATGAATGGACAGGGGCGATCTGATCCTAGATCAGCACTCATCTGAGATCCTTTATGAAAACGGGCCCAGATATTTTTCCATCTGCCTTATGGTTCAGGATAGGGTTGGGGTAGGAAGCAGGGAATAGAGCTAAGAGAGGATGTATTAAACCTGCCTAATATGAACTATCACAGAAATCATGTTCAACAGAGAAAAAGAGGGTTTCACTATGACATCCATTTAAAAAGAAAGCTTTATTAAAACATACAAAATATTTGCTGCATTATATGTTGTCAACAAAGACGTAATAGGCTACAATTGAACAAGGACTCCTGTTGTTTAGAAATCCAAGTGTGTGCTCTGTGGTAGACACAACAGTGAGGGCTTCCTGAAGCCAGCAGTGAGGGAGTTTGATTAGGCTGAACCGTGGTGCACCGGGCTATGGCCTGTCATGTGACCGAGCAAACGCGGTGAGGGAGGAGTGGCTCATGCCCGTGAGGCAGCCTGGTCTCAAAAACAGATGCAATCACTTTTCACCTGGTGCAAACTCCGCCCACCCGGGCCAGCATAATCAAATTCCCTCATTGTCCTGGCCGGTAGGTATCTGAAAAAAGTGAGCGCTAAAATGAGCTTACAAATCTGATACTGACTGATGCTTTTCACTCCACACACACTGTTACGTTCCTCAGCTAGAAAACCAAATAATGTCGCTCAAACAGAAGGGGGAACTAACAAAAAGTCACTGACAACAACCAAAACAGGCAGGGTTTTAGGAGGGGTTCTGAAAGACAGTCGTGGGGGTGTCCACTTTAAGTTGACTAGCCACAACAACTGGAACCTCAATGACACCCACCATGAGCGCCCAAGAAGAGGCAAACAAAAGAAAAACCCAAACCAGACTTAAAGACACGAAGCAATCCAAAAAGTTTAGCAAAAATATAAACAGGGAAAATCCGACAAAGGAACATTTTAAGGAACATTTTTCTATGAATCAAATAGGGAGAGCCAACTAAAAGGTGTTGACCGGACCGCCACATTTCTCAAGACAACTGGACCACTGGGCCAGCCACTCTTAAATATCACGTGGGCCAGCACAGGTGTAACACATACTGACTAACTAAAGTGCTATACATGCTAAAGTCCAACCTCAAAACATAAATGGAAAAAACCAAAACCTGTATCACACAACTACAGTGGGGAAAAAGTATTTAGTCAGCCACCAATTGTGCAAGTTCTCCCACTTAAAAAGATGAGAGAGGCCTGTAATTTTTCCTCATAGGTACAGCGTCAACTATGGTACCAGACAAAATGAGAATAAAAATCAAACAAAAATCATTGTATGGATTTTTAATGACTTTATTTGCAAATGATGTAAAATTTAAGTATTGGTCAATAACAAAAGTTCTCAATACTTTGTTTTTTAAATTTTTTGCAAATTTGTGGACAATGACACAGTCAAAAGTTTTCTTTGTAAGTCATCACAAAGGTTTTTTCACACACTGTTGCTGGTATTTTGGCCCATTCCTCCATGCAGTTCTCCTCTAGAGCATGATGTATTGGGGCTGTCGCTGGGCAACACGGACTTTCACTCCCTCCAAAGATTTTCTATGGGGTTGAGATCTGGAGACTGGCTAGGCCACTCCAGGACCTTGAAATGCTTCTTACGAAGCCACTCCTTCGTTGCCCGGGCGGTGTGTTTGGGATCATTGTCATGCTGAAAGACCCAGCCACGTTTATCATCAATGCCCTTGCTGATGGAAGGAGGTTTCACTCAAAATCTCACGATACATGGCCCCATTCATTCTTTCCTTTACACGGATCAGTCGTCCTGGTCCCTTTGCAGAAAAACAGCCCCAAAGCATGATGTTTCCACCCCCATGCTTCACAGTAGGTATGGTGTTCTTTGGATGCAACTCAGCATTCTTTGTCCTCCAAACACGACGAGTTGAGTTTTTACCAAAAAGTTATATTTTGGTTTCATCTGACCATATGACATTCTCCCAATCCTCTTCTGGATCATCCAAATGCACTCTAGCAAATTTCAGACGGGCCTGGACATGTACTGGCTTAAGCAGGGGGACACGTCTGGCACTGCAGGATTTGAGTCCCTGGCGGCGTAGTGTGTTACTGATGGTAGGCTTTGTTACTTTGGTCCCAGCTCTCTGCAGGTCATTCACTAGGTCCCCCCGTGTGGTTCTGGGATTTTTGCTCACCGTTCTTGTGATCATTTTGACCCCACGGGGTGAGATCTTGCATGGTGTCCCAGATCGAGGGAGATTATCAGTGGTCTTGTATGTCTTCCATTTCCTAATAATTGCTCCCACAGTTGATTTCTTCAAACCAAGCTGCTTACCTATTGCAGATTCAGTCTTCCCAGCCTGGTGCAGGTCTACAATTTTGTTTCTGGTGTCCTTTGACAGCTCTTTGGTCTTGGCCATAGTGGAGTTTGGAGTGTGACTGTTTGAGGTTGTGGACAGGTGTCTTTTATACTGATACCAAGTTCAAACAGGTGCCATTAATACAGGTAACGAGTGGAGGACAGAGGAGCCTCTTAAAGAAGAAGTTACAGGTCTGTGAGAGCCAGAAATCTTGCTTGTTTGTAGGTGACCAAATACTTATTTTCCACCATATATTGCAAATAAATTCATTAAAAATCCTACAATGTGATTTTCTGGATTTTTTTCTCAATTTGTCTGTCATAGTTGACATGTACCTATGATGAAAATTACAGGCCTCTCTCATCTTTTTAAGTGGGAGAACTTTTGGTGGCTGACTAAATACTTTTTTTCCCCCACTGTACATTTGTTTTGTTGTCAAGTGGTAGGAAATAGAACCTAATTATTTACAAGTTAGATGTAACAAGAAATTCACAATGCGAGTAATCATTTGTTGTTCTCACTTCAGGCTGAAGCTTTTGTGTGAGTGCTCATATGAGACTTCAAGCTTCCTTTATAACCAAAGCATTTGCCAAATTATTTGCACTGGTAAGGTTTCTCCCCTTTGTGAACACGCTGATGAAGTCTTAAATAGCTTAATGCGATGTAACCTTTCTTGCATACAGGACAGATATATGGTCTCTCCCCTGTATGAGCTCTCATATGCAATGTCAATTCTATCTTCTGGTTGAAGGCTTTGTCACAGTCTTTGCACTCATATGGTCTCTCCCCTGTGTGTATCCTTGAATGGACGGTCAAGTGTCCCTTCTGGTTAAACATTTTGCCACATTGTTTGCACTGATAGGGACTCTCTCCTGTGTGTACCCTTGTATGGATGGTCAAGTTGCTCTTCTGGTTAAACCTTTTGCCACATTGTTTGCACTGATAGGGATTCTCTCCTGTGTGTGTCCTTGAATGGATGGTCAAGTGTCCCTTACGTGTGAAGCTGTTGCCACATTGTTTACACTGATATGGTTTCTCTACTGCAGCAGAGAAGTCTGGATGAACTGAGAGGGGCTGATCACTGGTTGGTTCTGGTACTTTGTAGCCCTCTCCATCAGGTTCTGTTTTGATCTCTTCAGTTATGATGATAGGTAGAATACCCCTCTCTCCGTCATCCACAGTTTGGTTTTGGTAAAGATGTGAGGGCTGAGGTGAGTCCTCCTGACTGAGTCTGAGCTCCTGTTGTTCCTCTTTAATCTGTGTGGGTTCTGGGTCCTCCTGCCCCAGACTGGGGCTCCACTCCTGCTCACAGTTCTGCTGCTCAGGGGGAACAGTGGGAGTGAGTAGCTGGAAGTCTGGAGGGGAAAAAATATATTCAATCAATATTTATTTACTGTATTATCTTAATAAAATATCTGTAATTTTGTTTGGAAGGCCTCTCTGTGCTCAAAAAGAATACTATTTTGTTGACTAGTCTACACTACAGCATGGAAAAGGCTATACGGACACTTCTGACCTACATAAATATGTAACGCAAACGTAGCTAGCTATACAGCCTGATACCAGTGATGGTGTAGGCTAAATCAGCATTTTGTTTGTGCAACAGTATCTTCTAAATCAAAGAGGAATAGGCAAAGCTTGAATATGTTACCTACATGAAGTAGCTAAGAGAAAGATTATAGGGTCCCCTAGGACACACTGACCATCACTTTGGTTCCTACCCTGTCACAGTAACTCCTTCCTGGCATTTTCATTTGTTGTCATGTCGAACAACACTGTATTCAAAGTGGCCACTATTTATATAATTAGAATAATCATTATTTGTCCATGATTCCAACAGTTGACCCAAGTGTTGATCTAAATCGCAAGTCAAATCACAATTGCAACATTTGGTTAAAACTAAGTCCTCGATTTTTTGCCCATATCGTGCAGCCCTATGTGGCAGTGTGGAAATGATCTCAAATGAGTGCAGGAAATAATGTTTTGGTTGAAGTTTAATTGAACAGTATAAAACAATCAGAATGGAGCAAGACCCATTGAAATCACTTGGAATGTATGTGTTGCCACCCTAGGGTCACACACTACTCGTAAAGCAAATGTATAACTTGTATTATTCAAAAACATAAAGTACCGTCAAATACCATCAACATTTGAAAAATACTTTGATATGATATTTTGGCCATATCACCCAGCCCTAGTATTTTGTAAAGAAAATCAAGCTGTTACCATGTTCCAGCGCAGATTGTTTCTGTTTCATAGTTGTAACAAAGGCACTCCACAAATAAAATTGATTTAACAGTTGAATTTGTGTTTTTACATAGCCTACATCAACATAAAATAATGAAAATGCTATTTTGTTATTTGAAATGGGGGGGGGGGGGGGAAATCGTTCTCTAATGTTACCTAACACCATCAAGAACACAACCAAATGATTATTTTAGTAATAGCATATATGAAATGTATTAATTACACTGTTAGAATTTTGCTTAAAGGGGGTCCCTCGAGACCCAGCGGTTCTTAATAATAATAATAATAATAATAATAATATGCCATTTAGCAGACGCTTTTATCCAAAGCGACTTACAGTCATGTGTGCATACATTTTCACGTATGGGTGGTCCCGGGGATCGAACCCACTACCCTGGCGTTACAAGCGCCATGCTCTACCAATTGAGCTACAGAGGACCACTAGGTTGTTTTTAGTATATTTAAAACCAAATACTTTTAAACTTTTACTCAAGTAGTATTTTACTAGGTGATTTTCACTTTTACTTGAGTCATTTTCTATTAAGGTATCTTTACTTTTACTCATGTATGACAATTTTGTACTTTTTCCACCAATGCTCAGACTCATCCTCTGGCTTAAAAACAGAAATCCAAACTCTTGCGGTACAGTAGCTCAATAAAGTAGTTGAGTTGCATGGTAAGAAACCGACGGGAAAAAAAACACCAATCAAAACCGTCTAACCTATACCAGAGCGCTTTTGATATACCCTCTCCTTTCCACTCGCCTTAATCCAGTCGCCATATTGGGATGAAGCTACACACTTCTCCTCCCCTTTGGCATATCACAACGTGCCACATTAATCTAGTCTATTAGTCTACAAATTAAATCTCGTACAACTTTATTTCACAACAAACCTGCTCTGTGTAACGATATCTCTGGTTTGGTAGCCATGTCCAACAGCCTCCGTAGACGCTCGTTCTCCTCTGCTGAACGGCAGATTTCTTCCTGATACTCTGCTATAGTCTTCTCCACGACCCCGAATATCTCCACAGCAGCCGCCGATAAACGCTCGGTGACGAATACATTCAACAACTGTAATTTGGACATATTGGCAATGGTTATGAAAGTGTAGCTGTTCGTTTTATCAAATAAATCTTGTTTGAAACCTCTCTCTGATTCTGTGTAGCGACCTTGGAACAACAATTGACAGTGTTCTCATTTCACATAAACTGGTCGGTGAAAAGAAAACACTGCATTACATTAGCGCCACCTGCTGTCTTGGAGCATTTAATGGAAAAAACTGTTACTGGACCCAACCCTCACACCAAATTGAGTTTAGATTTCTAACTGTTGTCAGTCAGTATATTTCAAAATCTTTTCTGTTATGGTACAACGAGATCTTTGAGCCACATTACCTGGACTAAGCAGAGTTTGCCCTCAGTTTCAATGTGGGTCCCAAGACACCGTTTTTTTCATGCCTTTGCCTAGTCTTTTAGTACCTTCTCATTAAAGTTGATATAGAGCCCCACAGTGGAGGCATCACTATACCCATAAAACCTAGTGGTCAAATAGGGAAATGGTTCCAATTGTTTTTCCACCATTCATTTTTCCCATGGGGAATTGTAGTTCTTAATAAAAGCCATGTTAGTAACTAATTAGTGTTTATTTTGTGTGGGGTAAATACAGGCAAATATATATACCACTTTGTCCTAGAGATATTTACACAGTTATCAAAACGTTACGCCAGGTTAAGCCTACACGAAACACAGCCCTTATTTGATGTGTTTCTGAAAGGTGGAAAATCAATTGGAATCATTTCCCTGTTTGACCTCAAGGTTTTATGGGTATTATGACAACCTAGCAGTAAAACCTGGAAATTGTTTTTCGGTCAGGGATTTTAGAACTACTTAATGTAAGGTCTGTGTTTCGTGTAGGCTTACCCAGGCGTGACGTTTTGATAACCGCCAAATGTCTCTCGGACAAGGTAACTTTTATCTATATATTCACCTGTAATTTACCCCACAAAAATTAAACGCTAATGTGGCTATCATACAGAACTACACATCTTGTCGCAAGCTTTGACGTCATCCCTCAAGGCACATTTCTCCATGCAAAGTCATCGACAAGTAACCTGGCAAGTAGATATTATAGCCTTTTTGTTGATATCCTGTATTTCTCGTGTGTATTCTTTCTTTTTTTTCTTACCATTTTTTAAATGACCTAGCTAGCTACCGTAGCATTTTAAAATTACTTTAATTTTTTTAATTACCCTCTGGCCTTTGCAGCGAACTAGCTAACCTTAGGTCTCTCCGTCGATCAGAAGGACGGATGGTTCTGTGCTATGTACCGGGTTGTAACCACTACTCCGATAAGCACACGTGCATCGCTGGAGCAGTGTGATGAGGTAAGCCCTGTTTGCAAGCTGCTAACAAGCTATTTTGGTTAGGTCAGATGTCTGTGGTTAGCTAGGTGCTTATGAAAATTAGCTATATTGAACAAAATATAAATGCAACATGCAACAATTTCTACGATTTTACTGAATTACAGTTCATATAAGGAAATCAGTCAATTGAAATAAATAAATTAGGCCTAATCTATGGATTTCACATGACTGGGCAGGGGCGCAGGCATGGGTTGGCTTGGGAGCCAGGCCCAGCAAATCAGAATGAGTTTATCCCCACAAAAGGGCTTTATTACAGACAGAAATACTCCTCAGTTTCATCAGCTGTCCGGGTGGCTGGTCTCAGACGATCCCGCAGGTGAAGAAGTCGGATGTGGAGGTCCTGGGCTGGCGTGGTTACACGTGGTCTGCGGTTGTGAGGCCGGTTGGATGTACTGCCAAATTCTCTAAAACGAAGTTGGAGTCGGCTTATGGTAGAGAAATTAACATTAAATTATCTGGCAACAGCTCTGGTGGACATTCCTGTAGTCAGCATGCCAATTGCAAGCTCTCTCTAAACTTGAGACATCTGTGGCATTGTGTTGTGTGACAAAACTGCACATTTTAGTGGCTTTTTATTTTCCGCAGCACAAGGTGCACCTGTGTAATGATCATGCTGTTTAATCAGCTTCTTTATATAACACACCTGTCAGGTGGATGGATTATCTTGGCAATGGAAAAATGCTCACCAACAGGGATGTAAACAAATGTGTGCACAACATTTGAGAGAAATAACCTTTTTGTGACTATGGAACATTTCAGGGCTCTTTTATTTCAGCTCATGAAACATGGGACCAACACTTTACATGTTGCGTTTATATATTTTTTCAGTATAGATAACCACCGACTGTAATTACGTGTACAATGCACATTACCATCCTTACAAGTAAAAAAAACCCAGCATACAGTACGCTAGCATAATGACTGTTGTGACCTTTGTATTGACATGTTGCCTTTACAAACATCGCATGCCACAGATTTAGGACCTGAATGTAGAAATGGTGGTCTGCTGGCCAGTGCCCAAAATCCTTATGTTACATCCCTTTCAGTCGATCCCCCTATCACTGTTGGTCCTCCTCAGTGACCTTATGGCTGAGGGTTTTAATTTTCCTGTTGAGTATTAGAATCAGAAGTAGTCATATAGCTCATTGCAATACTTCACCTCTTCGGGCAAATGGTAACCTACTGTCCTGATCATCTAGTTGAGCATTCCAGATAATTCCTCCATCCCAGCAGAAATGTCCCATCCACATAGTAGGATGTTAGATGGGCAGATAGACCAAAGCACAGTCTATTTTACCGTTGCTATAGTCAGGTCTGTGGGTTATGGTATTTTACTATAGATCTTATAGTTTTAGTCATCAACTTAGCTAGCTAGTAAAATAAACATTTTTTTTTGTCTTTCAGATTGGCGGACCGGAAACCCATTGACAACACTCGGGTCTGTAGCTGCCATTTTCAGGTGGGGAGAGAAATGGCCCTGTATTTACCAGAATAGGTAGCTCATCCACCACTATGCCCATGATAAAATGCAATGTGAATTGTGTTGTACTACTGAATGAAACTGAGGAGATTCACTCAGACCAGCCTTTGTGATTGAACTTACGTTAACTACATTACTTTGGTTGGCTGCTTTGAGCAAAACTTGTACAGTGCATTCGGAAAGTATTCAGATCCCTTGACTTTTTCCACATTTTGTTACATTACGGCCATATTCTAAAATTGATTAAATTGTTTTTCCCCTCATCAATCTACACACAATACCCCATAATGACAAAGCAAAAACAGGTTTTTAGAAAATTTGAAATATCACATTTACATAAGTATTCAGACCCTTTACTCAGTACTTGGTTGAAGCACCTTTGGCAGTGATTACAGGCTCGAGTCATCTTGGGTATGATGCTACAAGCTTGGCACACCTGTATTTAGGGAATTTCTCCCATTCTTCTCTGCAGCCTCTCAAGCTCTGGGGAGCGTCGCTGCACAGCTATTTTCAAGTCCCTCCAGAGATGTTCGATCGGTTTCATGTCCGGGCTCTGGCTGGGCCACTCAAAGACATTTAGAGATTTGTCCCGAAGCCACTCCTGCATTGTCTTGGCTGTGTGCTTAGGGTCGTTGAACCTTCGCTCCAGTCTGATGTCCTGAGCACTCCGGAGCAGGTTTTCATCAAGGATCTCTCTGTACTTTGCTTCGTTCATCTTCCCCTCGATCCTGACTAGTCTCCCAGTCCCTGCCGCTGAAAAACATCCCCACAGCATGATGCTGCCACCACTATGCTTCACCGTAGGGATGGTGCCAGGTTTCCTCCAGACGTGATGCTTGGAATTCAGGCCAAAGAGTTCAATCTTGGTTTCATCAGACCAGAGAATCTTGTCTCTCATGGTCTGAGAGTCCTTTAGGTGCCTTTTGGCAAACTCCAAGTGGGCTGTCATGTGCCTTTTACTGAGGAGTGGCTTCTGTCTGGCCACATAAAGACCTGATTGGTGGAGTGCTGCAGAGATGGTTGTCCTTCTGGAAGGTTCTCCCATCTCCACAGAGGAACTCTAGAGCTCTGACAGAGTGACCATTGGCTTCTTGGTCACCTCCCTGACCAAAGCCCTTCTCCCCTGATTACTCAGTTTGGCCGGGCTGCCAGCTCTAGGAAGAGTCTTGGTGGTTCCGAACTTCTTCCATTTAAGAGTGATGGAGGCCACTGTGTTCTTCGGGACCTTCAATGCTGCAGAATTTTTTTGGCACCCTTACCCAGATCTGTGCCTCGACACAATCCTGTCTCGGAGCTCTACGGACAATTCCTTCGACCTCATAGCTTGGTTTTCGCTCTGACATGCACTGTCAACTGTGGGACCTTATATAGACAGGTGTGCCTTTCCAAATCATGTCCAATCAATTGAATTCACCACAGGTGGACTCCAATGAAGTTGTAGAAACATCGTTAAGGATGATCAATGGAAACAGGATGCACCTGAGCTCAATTTCGAGTCTCATAGCAAAGGGTCTGAATACTTATGTTAATATGCTATATTTAAAATGTATTTATATAAATTTGCCAACATTTCTAAAAACCTGTTTTCGCTTTGTCATTATGGGGTATTGTGTGTAGATTGATGAAGAAAACATGTATTTAATCAATTTTAGAGTAAGGCTGTAACATAACAAAATGTGGAAAAAGGGAACAGGTCTGAAAACTTTCCAAATGCACTGTATGCCCCTCCCACGGCTGCGGGTGAGATGGGTGTTTTTCCCCAAGTGTGTGCTGTGCCCGGCCAGGACCTTGGACACTTACTTTACACAGAAACAGGCAATACGACAGTCTGATTGGCTATTCGTTTACTATAGTGAGAGAGTTCTGGGCCAGAGCCTATCGATACAAAGACTCTCACATTGGATTGTGGACACTATTACTACAGTATATCAGCTGGCCAGCTGGCGTCTGCCGTCTACTGTAGTGGCACATTCTACTAGAGGAGTAGCCACATTGTGGGCCCTGCTCTGAGGAGTTTCCCTCAATGACATTTTCACCTCGGCCAGTTGGGCATCGTATAGCACCTTTTCTAGGTACTATCGAGTCAATGTTACTCCCGCCAATGAGGTCGGGACGGCTGCGCTGGGTGTTGCTTCCGCTTCCCTGAGGGGGGACGGAGGGACACAGCAACTATGACTGCCCTGAGCACTTTGCTCTCTTTCTGGCCCTTAGTTCACAGATTAATCTGGTATTATGATACCATATTGGAGTGATCCAATATAGTGCTACATAACGAAGGTTACGTATGTAACCATGGTTATGTGAGCTATTGGATCACTCCAATCCTCTTTGTCGGTGATCTACGGCACCTCGACAAAGGACACGAGGTGGAAGTAGTGTGGCGGCAGCTATTTAAGGGGTTCATCCGCAGCCTCAGCACTACCCGGTACACAGGACTAATTTGAAATCCTTACTCGGAATGTATCCTGCTGCACGGAAGGATACCTTATTGCAGGATACCATATTGGAGGGATCCAATAGCTCACATAACCGTGGTTACATACATAACCTTGGTTCTCCTCTGCTGAACGGCAGATCTCTTCCTGATACTCTGCTATGGTCTTCGCCACAGCCCAGAATATCTCCACAGCAGCCGCCGATAAACGCTCGGTGACGAACACATTCAACAACTGTAGTTTGCACATATTGATGATGGTTATGAATGCTGGTTATTTTTTATGTCCATCACTGGGCGTTCCAGGAATGCCCGAAAGAAGCCACCGCCATAGATTTTTCAACTAACCTGTTCTCAGCAGCGAAAATTCAGAAAGATACTACATCCATGTTTTGTAGAGAGTGAGATATGCCTCTTGCATGTGTGTAGATCTTTGTTTTGGTCACACTGTGTAACACGCTGGCATCTACTTCTACACGTGGCCGTTGATGCTTCGCATAGAAACGACTAGTTGCTAGATGTGCGACAGCTAAGATGGCGAGGAACCTCCATGCACGATACAAAACATGGATTTAATATCTTTCTGAGTTTTCACTTGTTTTTGTAGAATCACCTGAAACTGGAAATTGACATTTCTAAGAAATGTTCACCGAATCGAGAACGAAGAAAGTATTGACAAGAACAGGTTAGTTAAAAAAATCAATGGAGGCAGTTTGTGTGGGGCTTTCCTGTAACGGCCAGTAATGGACACCAAAAATCTTTGTACGCCAGATAATGTGACATAACCAATCTGTAGCTAGGTAAGGGCCAATAGTCACAAAGCGTCTCAGAGTAGGAGCGCTGATACAGGATCAGTTTTGCCTTTTAGATTATAATGACTGGACAGGGGCGATCTGATCCTAGATCCGCACTCATGTGAGACGCTTTATGAATACGGGCCCAGATATTCTTGCATTCCCCTTACAGTTCAGGATAGGGTTGGGGGTAAAAGGCAGGGAATAGAGCTGATTGAGAGGATGTATTACAGTAACTGTCCAGTGAAAAACCGAACTTTTGAAAGTTCATATTCTGTTAACTCATACCCAAATAATGTTGTTGACTCGTCATATACTCGTATGTGGCCAAAGCATAAATTGGAGAGAAAACACTTTAAAAAACCCACCTCAAACTTTTATCTCAAACAGACCGTTTAAAAATGATTGCCATTGAGTATGATGTCATACTCCTGAGGATGAGCTGGCCAATCAGCGTTCTAGAGGAGGATGAGCTGGCCAATCAGTGGTCTACTCGCGTGAATATTTTTTATGACTGCCCACACCTCTATGACATCCATTGAAAAAACAACTTTATTAAAACATACATAATACCAAACCTTTTTTGATGTACTCAGAGTACCGTTATTAGCATGTTTTAACCGCTCCTATAAAAATTGTAGATTATCAGATACTCAACAAGACAGTCTGATTTAATTATTACTGAAACAGGACCCAAGTGGTAAATGTAAAGATCCAGCCCATTAAAGAAATTGGAGGCCCCTTACACTACGCAAAATGCGTAGTGCATAGAATTAAAAAGGTATTGTTGGATATTATTCATCCTAATCAGATATGTTTTTTACATGGACGATACATTGGATATAATAAACTCAGCAGAAAAATAAACTGTTTCCTATGCTTGTTCAATTAACCATAAACAATTAATGAACATGCACCTGTGGAACGGGCGTTAAGACACTAACAGCTTACAGATGGTAGGCAATTAAGGTCACAGTTATGAAAACTTAGGACACTAAAGAGGCCTTTCTACTGACTCTGAAAAACACCAAAAGAAAGATGCCCAGGGTCCCTGCTCATCTGCGTGAATGTGCCTTAGGCATGCTGCAAGGAGGCATGAGGACTGCAGATGTGGCCAGGGCAATAAATTGCAATGTCTGTACTGTGAGACACCTAAGACAGCGCTACAGGGAGACAGGACGGACAGCTGATCGTCCTTGCAGTGGCAGACCACATGTAACAACACCTGCACAGGATGGGTACATCCGAACATCACACCTGCGGGACAGGTACAGGATGGCAACAACAACTGCCCGAGTTACATCAGGAACGCACAATCCCTCCATCAGTGCTCAGACTGTCCGCAATAGGCTGAGAGAGGCTGGACTGAGGGCTTGTAGGCCTGTTGTAAGGCAGGTCCTCACCAGACATCACTGGCAACAACGTCACCTATGGGCACAAACCCACCGTCGCTGGACCAGACAGGACTGGCAAAAAGTGCTCTTCACTGACGAGTCGCAGTTTTGTCTCACCAGGGGTGATGGTCGGATTCGCGTTTATCATCGAAGGAATGAGCGTTACACCGAGGCCTGTACTCTGGAGCGGGATCGATTTGGAGGTGGAGGGTCCGTCATGGTTTGGGGCGGTGTGTCACAGCATCATCGGACTGAGCTTGGTATCATTGCAGGCAATCTCAACGCTGTGCGTTACAGGGAAGACATCCTCCTCCCTCATGTGGTACCCTTCCTGCAGGCTCATCCTGACATGACCCTCCAGCATGACAATGCCACCAGCCATACTGCTCGTTCTGTGCGTGATTTCCTGCAAGACAGGAATGTCAGTGTTCTGCCATGGCCAGCGAAGAGCCCGGATCTCAATCCCATTGAGCACTTCTGGGACCTGTTGGATCGGAGGGTGAGGGCTAGGGCCATTCCTCCAGAAATGTTCGGGAACTTGCAGGTGCCTTGGTGGAAGAGTGGGGTAACATCTCACAGCAAGAACTGGCAAATCTGGTGCAGTCCATGAGGAGATGCACTGCAGTACTTAATGCAGCTGGTGGCCACACCAGATACTGACTGTTACTTTTGATTTTGACCGCCCCCTTTGTTCAGGGACACATTATTCAATTTATGTTAGTCACATGTCTGTGGAACTTGTTCAGTGTATGTCTCAGTTGTTGAATCTTGTTATGTTCATACAAATATTTACACATGTTAAGTTTGCTGAAAATAAACGCAGTTGACAGTGAGAGGATGTTTCTTTTAATAAAATATAAGACAAGTACTGGAAACAATAGAACTCTATGTTCGATTGGAATGTATATATAAATGCCTGGAATATTTCAATTTTGGAGAATCACTTATACAATTGGTTAAAGTTATGTATAGTAACCCTACAGTGAGGGGAAAAAAGTATTTGATCCCCTGCTGATTTTGTACGTTTGCCCACTGACAAAGACATGATCAGTCTATAATTTTAATGGTAGGTTTATTTGAACAGTGAGAGACAGAATAACAAAACAAAAATCCAGAAAAACGCATGTCAAAAATGTTATCAATTGATTTGCATTTTAATGAGGGAAATAAGTATTTGACCCCCTCTCAATCAGAAAGATTTCTGGCTCCCAGGTGTTTTTTACATAGGTAATGAGCTGAGAATAGGAGCACACTCTTAAAGGGAGTGCTCCTAATCTCAGCTTGTTACCTGTATAAAAGACACCTGTCCACAGAAGCAATCAATCAATCAGATTCCAAACTCTCCACCATAGCCAAGACCAAAGAGCTCTCCAAAGATGTCAGGGACAAGATTGTAGACCTACACAAGGCTGGAATGGGCTACAAGACCATCGCCAAGCAGCTTGGTGAGAAGGTGACAACAGTTGGTGAGATTATTCGCAAATGGAAGAAACATGCAAGATCTCACCTCGTGGAGTTGCAATGATCATGAGAACGGTGAGGAATCAGTCCAGAACTACACGGGAGGATCTTGTCAATGATCTCAAGGCAGCTGGGACCATAGTCACCAAGAAAACAATTGGTAACACACTACGCCGTGAAGGACTGAAATCCTGCAGCGCCCGCAAGGTCCCCCTGCTCAAGAAAGCACATATACAGGCCCGTCTGAAGTTTGCCAATGAACATCTGAATGATTCAGAGGAGAACTGGGTGAAAGTGTTGTGGTCAGATGAGACCAAAATCGAGCTCTTTGGCATCAACTCAACTCGCCGTGTTTGGAGGAGGAGGAATGCTGCCTATGACCCCAAGAACACCATCCCCACCGTCAAACATGGAGGTGGAAACATTATGCTTTGGGGGTGTTTTTCTGCTAAGGGGACAGGACAACTTCACCGCATCAAAGGGACGATGGACGGGGCCATGTACCGTCAAATCTTGGGTGAGAACCTCCTTCCCTCAGCCAGGGCATTGAAAATGGGTCGTGGATGGGTATTCCAGCATGACAATGACCCAAAACACACGGCCAAGGCAACAAAGGAGTGGCTCAAGAAGAAGCACATTAAGGTCCTGGAGTGGCCTAGCCAGTCTCCAGACCTTAATCCCATTGAAAATCTGTGGAGGGAGCTGAAGGTTCGAGTTGCCAAACGTCAGCCTCGAAACCTTAATGACTTGGAGAAGATCTGCAAAGAGGAGTGGGACAAAATCCCTCCTGAGATGTGTGCAAACCTGGTGGCCAACTACAAGAAACGTCTGACCTCTGTGATTGCCAACAAGGGTTTTGCCACCAAGTCATGTTTTACAGAGGGGTCAAATACTTATTTCCCTCATTAAAATGCAAATCAACTTATAACATTTTTGACATGCGTTTTTTCTAGATTTTGTTGTTGTTATTCTGTCTCTCACTGTTCAAATAAACGTACCATTAAAATTATAGACTGATCATGTCTTTGTCAGTGGTCAAACGTACAAAATCAGCAGGGGATCAAATACTTTTTTCCCTCACTGTATGTGTAAAATAGTAAATAATGGCTGCTTCTCAGAAAGTATTAAACTGTCAAGAGGAGTAAAACAAGGTTGTCCACTATCGGCATATCTATTGCTGTTATGATGGAGCCGGAGGGGATGGCTGCCGTTTTGTGGACTCTTAACCATCCGTGCTATTTTGTGTGTTTTTTCACCTTGTTTGTAACTTATTTTGTACATGTTGCTGTTACCCGTCTCTTATGCGTATTATTTTATATTGTATTTTTGTGTGATTTCTTTTGGTATTCTTTCTTAAAACTGCATTGTTGGTTAAGGGCTTGTAAGTAAGCATTTCACTGTAAGGTCTACATCTGTTGTATTCAGCGCATGTGACAAATAACATTTGATTTGATTTATTATGGCCATCGAAATGTTAGCTATTAAAATCAGATCTAACAATAATATCAAGGGGCTAGAAATCCAGGGCTTAAAAACAAAAGGTGTCATTGTACGCTGATGATTAATGTTTTCTTTTAAATCTACAATTTGGATCCCTCCACAGCCTCATAGAGGATCTAGATAATTTGTCTAACCTCTCTGGATTACAACCAAATTATGATAAATGTACTATATTATGTATTGGATCACCAGTAAATACAACTTTTACATTACTGTGTAGTTTACCCAAAACAATGGTCTGACGGTGAAGTGGACATACTCAGTATTCATATCCCGAAATAAATAAATGATCTCACTACAATACATTTGAATAGAAAGTTAGCAAAAATAGATAAGATCTTGCAACCATGGAAAGGAAAATACCTGTCTATTTGTGGAAAAATCACAGATTAACTCTTAAATCATATCCCAGTTTGCTTATGGCCTACAACTAGCGACTTGTTATATGAGCAAAAAATATTCCATTTTATTTGGAACGGTAAACCAGACAAAATTAAACAGGCCTATTTATATAATGAATATGAACTCTGAGGGCAGAAATGATTAAATATTAAAGCATTAGACCTCTCACTAAAGGCTTCAGTCATACAAAAGTTATACTTAAATCCGAACTGGTTCTCTTGCAGAATACTAAGAATGTCTCACCCCATATTCAAGAATGGCCTTTTTTCCCTTTATTCAGATTACAACCTCTCACTTTCGGTTATTTGAAAATGAAATAATCTCCAAAATATCGCTATTTTTAAAACAAGCCATAGAAAGTTGGTTGCAATTTCAGTTTAATCCACCAGAAAAGACAGAACAAACATTACAACAATAAGGAACTTGTCTGTCGGCCCTACATTAAAGACCAAAATTGGTTAAAGAAAATTGTGATAAATAAAAATGTATACCAGTTTAATTTCAGGACCAAAAAATTGACAGCTGTGCCATATAGATTGCAAAATAATTGGCAAGAGATATTCGATGTACCGATTCCATGGCACATGGTTTATGAACTGATACACAAAACGACACTGGATTCAAAACTTTGTGTTTTTCAATTTAAATTATTATACAAAATTCTTGCAACCAATAGAATGTTATATATATGGGGGATACAACCATCCCAGCTCTGTAGATCTTGCTGTGAAGAGACAGAATCATTAGATCATTTGTTTTGGTACTGTCCATATGTAGCTTGTTTTTAAGGTCACAGGTTCAGGAATGGCTGAAGAGTTGCAACATTTACCTGGAGTTAACTCTGGAAATAGCACTGCCGGGTGATTTTAAAAGTCATAGTCAATCGATCAATTGTCTGTCTGCTAAATGTCTAAAATGTTTTGAAATGTTTAAAATGTAAAACAAAAACAAAAACATGTTTAAAATGATCAATAATATAATAATACTCTTAGCAAAATTTTTACTTTTATTTAAAATCTGTAGAAACTATGAGAATAGAAAGTTTCAGAACTTTTCTGAAACATCACAGCACAGTTAAAAAATATGGCAAATAGAAATCAAACTGGATGGTGTTCAGAGATAGATGAGAGGAGAGGGGTTGAGTGGAGCTGAAGGGTGGGACTTAAAATATCAAGCTAACTAATGTAAAATATACTGTGTCCGTAAAAAGTATATTGGTTCAGAACTTTTGTGAAACAGCACAGTTGGAAAATATATGGCAAATAGAAATCAAAACTGGATGGTCTTCAGAGATAGATGGGAGGGGTTGAGGATAGCTGAAGGATGGGACTAAAAACAAACAAAAGATAACTATTGTAAAATATACTGTGTCCGTAAAATGTATATAGTATGTATAAGCTGGAAGTAGGATCATAAGTGTTGTTGTCCATTATATATATATATATAAAATAATAAAATAAAAAGTGTGTGTATATATATATATATATATATATATATATATATATATATAGTGGGGAGAACAAGTATTTGATACACTGCCGATTTTGCAGGTTTTCCTACTTACAAAGCATGTAGAGGTCTGTAATTTTTATCATAGGTACACTTCAACTGTGAGAGACGGAATCTAAAACAAAAATCCAGAAAATCACATGTATGTATGTATGATTTTTAAGTAATTAATTTGCATTTTATTGCATGACATAAGTATTTGATCACCTACCAACCAGTAAGAATTCCGGCTCTCACAGACCTGTTAGTTTTTCTTTAAGAAGCCCTCCTGTTCTCCACTCATTACCTGTATTAACTGCACCTGTTTGAACTCGTTACCTGTATAAAAGACACCTGTCCACACACTCAAACAGACTCCAACCTCTCCACAATGGCCAAGACCAGAGAGCTGTGTAAGGACATCAGGGATAGAATTGTAGACCTGCACAAGGCTGGGATGGGCTACAGGACAATAGGCAAGCAGCTTGGTGAGAAGGCAACAACTGTTGGCGCAATTATTAGAAAATAGAAGAAGTTCAAGATGACGGTCAATCACCCTCGGTCTGGGGCTCCATGCAAGATCTCACCTCGTGGGGCATCAATGATCATGAGGAAGGTGAGGGATCAGCCCAGAACTACACGGCAGGACCTGGTCAATGACCTGAAGAGAGCTGGGACCACAGTCTCAAAGAAAACCATTAGTAACACACTACGCCGTCATGGATTAAAATCCTGCAGCGCACGCAATGTCCCCCTGCTCAAGCCAGCACATGTCCAGGCCCGTCTGAAGTTTGCCAATGACCATATGGATGATCCAGAGGAGGAATGGGAGAAGGTCATGTGGTCTGATGAGACAAAAATAGAGCTTTTTGGTCTAAACTCCCCTCGCCGTGTTTGGAGGAAGAAGAAGGATGAGTACAACCCCAAGAACACCATCCCAACCGTGAAGCATGGAGGTGGAAACATCATTCTTTGGGGTTGCTTTTGTGCAAAGGGGACAGGACGACTGCACCGTATTGAGGGGAGGATGGATGGGGCCATGTATCACGAGATCTTGACCAACAACCTCCTTCCCTCAGTAAGAGCATTGAAGATGGGTCGTGGCTGGGTCTTCCAGCATGACAACAACCCGAAACACACAGCCAGGGCAACTATGGAGTGGCTCCGTAAGAAGCATCTCAAGGTCCTGGAGTGGCCTAGCCAGTCTCCAGACCTGAACCCAATAGAAAATCTTTGGAGGGAGCTGAAAGTCCGTATTGCCCAGCGACAGCCCCGAAACCTGAAGGATCTGGAGAAGGTCTGTATGGAGGAGTGGGCCAAAATCCCTGCTGCAGTGTGTGCAAACCTGGTCAAGACCTACAGGAAACTTATGATCTCTGTAATTGCAAACAAAGGTTTCTGTACCAAATATTAAGTTCTGCTTTTCTGATGTATCAAATACTTATGTCATGCAATAAATGCAAATGAATTACTTAAAAATCATACAATGTGATTTTCTGGATTTTTGTTTTAGAGTCCGTCTCTCACAGTTGAAGTGTACCTATGATAAAAATTACAGACCTATACATGCTTTGTAAGTAGGAAAACCTGCAAAATCGGCAGTGTATCAAATACTTGTTCTCCCCACTGTATATATATACATTCACACAGCACCAGTCAAAAGTTTGGACACACCTACTCATTCCAGGATTTTTCTTTATTTTTTACTATTTTCTACATTGTAGAATAATAGTGAAGACATCAAAACTATGAAATAACACATGAAAAACACCAAAAAAAATGTTCAACAAATCAAAATATATTTTATATTTGAGATTCTTTAAACAGCCACCCATTGCCTTGATGACAGCTTTGCACACTCTTGGCATTCTCTCAACCAGCTTCACCTGGAATGCTTTCCCAATAGTCTTGAAGGAGTTCCCACATACACTCCCGTTCAAAAGTTTGGGGTCACTTAGAAATGTCCTTGTTTTCGAAAGAAATGCAAATGTTTTGTCCATTAAAATAACATCAAATTGATCAGAAATACAGTGTAGACATTGTTAATGGCTATTGTAGCTGGAAACGGCTGATTTTTAACGGAATATCTACATGGGTGTACAGAGGCCCATTATCAGCAACCATCAGTCCTGTGTTCCAATGACACGTTGTGTTTGCTAATCCTAGTTTATCATTTTAAAAGGCTAATTGATCATTAGAAAACCCTTTTGCAATTATGTTAGCACAGCTGAAAACTGTTGTGCTGATTAAAGAAGCAATAAAACGGGCCTTCTTGAGACTAGTTGAGTATCTGGAGCATCAGCAATTGTGGGTTCGATTACAGGCTCAAAATGGCCAGAAACAAATAACTTTCTTCTGAAACTCGTCAGTCTATTCTTGTTCTGAGAAATGAAGGCTATTCCATGCGAGAAATTGCCAAGAAACTGAAGATCTCGTACAACGCTGTGTACTACTCCCTTCACAGAACAGCGCAAACTGGCTCTAACCAGAATAGAAAGAGGAGTGGGAGGCCCCGATGCACAACTGAGCAAGAGGACAAATACATTAGTGTCTAGTTTGAGAAACAGACGCCTCACAGGTCCTCAATTGGCAGCTTCATTAAATAGTACCCTCAAAACACCAGTCTTAACGTCAACAGTGAAGTGGCGACTCCGGGATGCTGACCTTCTAGGCAGAGTTGCAAAGAAAAAGCCATATCTCAGACTGGCCAATAAAAATATTAAGATGGGCAAAAGAACATAGACACTGGACAGAGGAAGATTGGAAAAAAGTGTTATGGACAGACAAATCGAAGTTTGAGGTGTTCGGATCACAAAGAAGAACATTTGTGAGACACAGACCAAATGAAAAGATGCTGGAGGAGTGCTTGATGCCATCTGTCAAGCATGGTGGAGGCAATGTGATGGTCTGGGGGTGCTTTGGTGGTGGTAAAGTGGGAGATTTGTACAGGGTAAAAGGGATCTTGAAGAAGGAAGGCTATCACTCCATTTTGCAACGCCATGTCATACCCTGTGGATGGCGCTTGATCGGAGCCAATTTCCTCCTACAACTAGGACAATGACCCAAAGCACAGCTCCAAACTATGCAATAACTATTTAGGGAAGAAGCAGTCAGCTGGTATTATGTCTATAATGGAGTGGCCAGCACAGTCACCGGATCTCAACCCTATTGAGCTGTTGTGGGAGCAGCTTGACCGTAAGAAGAGCCCATCAAGCCAATCCAACTTGGGGGAGGTGCTTCAGAAAGCATGGGGTGACATCTCTTCAGATTACCTCAACAAATTGACAACTAGAACGCCAAAGGTCTGCACGGCTGTAATTGCTGCAAATTGAGAATTATTTGACGAAAGCAAAGTTTGAAGGACACAATTATTATTTCAAACCTTGTCAATGACTACATTTCCTATTTATTTAGCTATATTTCCTATTCAAACTAATTTCATGTATGTTTTCATGGAAAACAAGGACATTTCTAAGTGACCCCAAACTTTCGAACGGTAGTGTATGCTGAGCACTTGTTGGCTGCTTTTCCTTCACTCTGGGGTCCGACTCATCCTAAACCATCTCAATTGGGTTGAGGTCGGGGGATTCTGGAGGCCAGGTCACCCCATCACTCTCCTTCTTGGTAAAATAGCCCTTCCACAGCCTGGAGATGTGTTAGGTCATTGTCCTGTTGAAAACAAATGATAGTCCCACTGAGCCCAAACCAGATGTGATGGCGTATCTGTATACCACCCCTACCTTGTCACAAAACAACTGATTGTTTCAAATGCATTAAGGAAGGAAATTCTACAAATTAACTTTTAAAAAAGCACACCTGTTAATTGAAATGCATTCCAGGTGACTACCTCATGAAGCTGGTTGAGAGAATGTCAAAAGTGTGCAAATCTGTCATCAAGGCAAAGGGTGGCTACTTTGAAGAATCTCAAATATAAAATATATTTTGATTTGTTTAACACTTTTTTGGTTACTACATGTTTCCATATGTGTTATTTCATTGTTTTGATGTCTTCACTATTATTCTACAACATAAAGAAAAACCCTGGAATGAGTAGGTGTGTCCAAACTTTTGACTGGTACTGTATATATACATACATAGAGTACCAGTCAAAAGTTTGGACAAGGACTCCTGTTGTTTAGATATCCAAATGTGTGCTCTGTGGTAGACACAACAATGAGGGCTTCCTGAAGCCAGCAGTGAGGGAGTTCGATTAGGTTGAACCGTGGTGCACCGGGCTATGGCCTGTCATGTGACCGGGCAAACACAGTGAGGGAGGAGTGGCTCACGCCTGTGAGGCAGCCTGGTTTCAAAACGGATGCAATCACTTTTCACCCGGGCCAGCAGTCAAATTCCCTCATTGTCCTGGCCGGTAGGTATCCGAAAAAAGTGAGCGCTAAAATGAGCTTACAAATCTGATACTGATGTTTTTCACTCCACACACATAACTACATTTGTTTTGTTGTCAAGTGCCAGAAAATAGAACATCAAATTATTTACAAGTTGGATGTAACAAGAAATTCACGTGAGTAATCATTTGTTGTTCTCACTTCAGGCTGAAGCTTTTGTGTGAGTGCTCATATGAGACTTCAAGCTTCCTTTATAACCAAAGCATTTGCCACATTCTTTGCACTGGTAAGGTTTCTCCCCGGTGTGAACACGCTGATGAAGTCTTAAATAGCTTAATGCCATGTAACCTTTTCTTGCATACAGGACAATTATATGGTCTCTCCCCTGTGTGAACTCTCATATGCAATATCAATTCCATCTTCTGGTTGAAGGATTTGTCACAGTCTTTGCACTGATAAGGTTTTGCCCCTGTGTGTATCCTTGAATGGATGGTCAAGCTTCCTTTCTGGTTAAACATTTTGCCACATTGTTTGCACTGATATGGATTATCTCCTGTGTGTACCCTTGTATGTCTGTCCAAGTCGCCCTTCTGGATGAAGCTTTTGCCACATTGTTTGCACAGATAAGATTTCTCTCCTGTGTGTATCTTTGAATGGATGGTCAAGTGTCCCTTACGTGTAAAGCTTTTGTCACATTGTTGACACCTATATGGTTTTCTCCACTGCAGCAGAGCAGTCTGGATGAACTGAGAGGGGCTGATCACTGGTTGGTTCTGGTACTTTGTAGCCCTCTCCATCAGGTTCTGTTTTGATCTCTTCAGTTATGATGATAGGTAGAATACCCCTCTCTCCGTCATCCACAATTTGGATTTGGTAAAGATGTGAGGGCTGAGGTGAGTCCTCCTGACTGAGTCTGAGCTCCTGTTGTTCCTCTTTAATCTGTGTGGGTTCTGGGTCCTCCTGCCCCAGACTGGGGCTCCACTCCTGCTTACAGTTCTGCTGCTCAGGGGGAACTGCAGGAGTGAGTAGCTGGAAGTCTGGAGGGGGAAAAAATATCTTAAATGGTGCACTATGCAGAAATCGCTCCGTAATTTCCTGGTTGCTAACATTCTTTGTGACAAAACAAGCAAGTAGTAGTGAATCATTGTACCATCTAAACCGCTGTGAAATATATTTTCCATCACCAAAATTATGTTATTTTCAGCTGTTTGAAGCTGGTGTACAAAACCGAAAGTAAAAGACGCAAAAACGGAAAGCATAGAAAGTGCGCATAGAACAGCTCTACCGCCTCTTAGACTTGCTTTCAATGAGAATGACAGGTCTATAACTCACATTTCTATGTGAATTTGGTCAGGTCGCCCAAAAAGTTACATATTCCAGCTTTAATAAAATATCTGAAATGTTGTTTGGAAGGCCGCTCTGTGCTCAAAAATAAATATATTTTCTTGACTAGTCTACACTATACAGCACTGAAAAGGCTATACGGACACTCCTGATCTGCAAAACTATATTTTATTTCAGAATTAGTTAAAATTAGTTTAAGTTCAGGGTTAGGGTTAAGGTAAGGGTCAGTTTTAGATTTTGGTTAGTCATTTACAGGTCAGGAGTGTCCTTAGAGCCGCTCCCCCAGCACATGATTTAACAAAGCAATGTTGGCAAACCAGAGTTTCATCCAAGGGTGCGTATAGCCAGAGAGGAAGGGTTTCCACAGCCACAAAGTCAAAATGTAAGATTAGGCATAAGGTTAGCAGTGTGGTTAGGGTTAAGTTTAAAATCACATTTTAAGAAGAGACATTTTAGAAATAGGAGATATTTATGACTGTGTGGCTGGGGTATCTAGTGACGATCGAGGAAGAGACAAATCTCTTTAGCATGGGAGGAGGCTATCCGGACACGCCTGGTACCCAAAATTGATGACAAAGTTTCTCAATACTTTGTTATATACCCCTTGTTGGCAATGACACAGGTCAAACGTTTTCTGTAAGTCTTCACAAGGTTTTCACACACTGTTGCTGGTATTTTGGCCCATTCCTCCATGCAGATCTCCTCTAGAGCGGTGATGTTTTGGGGCTGTCGCTGGGCAACACAGACTTTCAACTCCCTCCAAAGATTTTCTATGGGGTTGAGATCTGGAGACTGGCTAGGCCACTCCAGGACCATGAAATGCTTCTTACGAAGCCACTCCTTCGTTGCCCAGGCGGTGTGTTTGGGATCATTGTCATGCTGAAAGACCCAGCCACGTTTCATCTTCAATGCCCTTGCTGATGGAAGGAGGTTTTCACTCAAAATCTGACGATACATGGCCCCATTCATTCTTTCCTTTACACGGATCAGTCGTCCTGGTCCCTTTGCAGAAAAACAGCCCCAAAGCATGATGTTTCCACCCCCATGCTTCACAGTAGGTATGGTGTTCTTTGGATGCAACTCAGCATTCTTTGTCCTCCGAACACGACGAGTTGAGTTTTTACCAAAAAGTTCTATTTTGGTTTCATCTGACCATATGACATTCTCCCAATCCTCTTCTGGAACATCCAAATGCACTCTAGCAAACTTCAGACGGGCCTGGACATGTACTGGCTTAAGCAGGGGGACACGTCTGGCACTGCAGGATTTGAGTCCCTGGCGGCGTAGTGTGTTACTGATGGTAGGCTTTGTTACTTTGGTCCAAGCTCTCTGCAGGTCATTCACTAGGTCCCCCCGTGTGGTTCTGGGATTTTTGCTCACCGTTCTTGTGATCATTTTGACCCCACGGGGTGAGATCTTGCGTAGAGCCCCAGATCGAGGGAGATTATCAGTGGTCTTGTATGTCTTCCATTTCCTAATAATTGCTCCCACAGTTGATTTCTTCAAACCAAGCTGCTTACCTATTGCAGATTCAGTCTTCCAAGCCTGGTGCAGGTCTACAATTTTGTTTCTGGTATGTCGTGCAGCGGGAGTTGAGTGGGGATGAATGGATTTGGTTTAGTAACGGGTCACCAAACAACCTATGCGAACTCACGCGATGTGATTGAGATGCTTAATATCAAAGATGTATACAGTCATGCCACACCCTTACTGTACCCACGTGACCTGTTGAGAATTTGAAACTTGTTCGCTGATGTTGGGACTTGGAAAATTGTTCAGATTCATTCCATTTTTAATCTGAGTAATTGTCCATTGTTCATATATATATTTTTTTTTTTGACGTTGCTGCAGTTGTACATTTTCGGTGAAAATCACTACAATAAATGTGCTTTAGCTGTCACCTTGGCCTGATATTGGCAATTGGCTACACTATCTAGCTACTTCCCTCTCCCTACTGCAGGACAGCAGTGCTCAGCAAGCAGGACTGAAGGACACTGTGCCCTGTGTTGTTGTGTTGCAGCGCAAACTCTCCCCATTTGAGCAGTAGACTGCATCACGGTGACATCCAGATGGTTACTACCAATATTACACATTATTTATTGTGTAGGCTGCCAACCTACTTGAAATATAATCAACTGGGATGGAACAAATTGACCAAGTAGCTACCGCCAGGGACATGTGATACAGATGCCCGGTGAAGCAACTGCTGCCCAGTGGGAATTACAATACGGCTGCACTGTTCATCCACGAAGGTATGGTGAGAACTTGATCCGTTGGAATATGGCTTAGGAACGCTTATTTCAAAGAGCGCTCCGTAAACCATGCTCCAGTGGGCAGAGATAGGCATGCTGCACGGGGACACATTTTAATACAAAGTAAAGCCTCAGAAACTGTTTGGGACTCATTGTTGTTACCCTGGTTACTACTCAAATATATTTTACTGAAGTCAGATGAAATTACCTACAATACACTGGTCTAAAATATATTAGCATAACTTAGGCTACACAGAACCACGGTGGACCCATTTTAAATTGAGAGGCTTTTCTTTGTATTAAAACGTGTCCCACTGCAACATGCCTAGCGATGTCCACAGGGGGCGTGGCTTACGGTGTGCTCTTTGAAATTAGCGCAAGTAACGCAGTATTCCAACGGATCGAGTTCGTCGTTAGCTAATTGGCATATCATGGTGATATCCAATTGGTGACCAATACTATAAGTTATTTCTCCCTCGCCAATCGAAATAAATATCACTTTTACACGTTTTAACTAGCCGAATGATGCTGTTGTTGACAGCTAGACAGTATAAACTAGTGTCACCAGGACGACTGACTGAACTAACTCAACCGAATCCATTCCTCTCCACTCGACTCTCAACTGCGCGACATACGTCATCAATTTAGGAATCAGGCGTGTCCGTATTGCCTCTGCCTTTAACATATCACAACGTGTCACATGAACAGGGTTGCCATGCCCGTTGGTTTTCCCGGAAAATTGTGCAACTTTGAAAACGATGTTGCGGGTAAATTGGTCGCGGGCAGGTTTTTGGCCTACTTTTAAATTGCACTGCGGCCGCCATCGCATTTCTCTCTTTTTTATATATATATATATTTTACTGTGCCCTGCTGCTGCTGACTATCAGGCAGTGAGGGAGGCTGTTGCTTTGTGAGTGGTGGGGAGGGGGAGGGGGAGGGGGAGGGCCGGAAGGGGGTGAGCAGCAGTTCTTGAGTCTCAAGCGCTGCGCGAGTGGACATTTGAAATGGCAGTTAGGGAACTCCCTCGCGGGGAAAAGTCCACAATAAAAAAACTGACATTAAATGTGGAGAATAACACATTGGCATCTGTTGGCCACCAAGTAGACTACTAACTTCTATGCCATTGTAGGCTACTATAGCCTCCTACCATTTGATACAAACAATATGTTGAAATTAAGATATCACTGGAGTCATTTCAAATCAATTTGTGCCTCTTGTGTAGCCTACCTGGAGTCACTGCAAATCAATTTGTGCCACTTGTGTAACCTATCTGGAGCTGGCAAACAGATTTAATAAATAGCCTATAACTTCAGTTTATTGATGATGTAGCCTTGTTATTATGCAATTATTAATGCCCATGTTTAGTTAATTAAATTGGAAGTTCTAAATTGTGATCTCACAGCTCTATCGCAATTGCGGATCAGCTGTTGTTAGAATGCATTATATTGATTTAAGTCAGTCAGAATAGGCTACAGGTAAAAAATAAAAACAGTGGCTGTTGTTGACAAGCATATTAGTTCATATCCATATTATTCATATTTGATTCAGTGATTGAAATTACGACCCCATCCTTAGTAGCCTATTCCAGCAGGCTATTGGGCAACACAAGCACTTCTTACCTCGAAATCGCCTCACTATTTGTTGAATACATTATTCTGTCCATTTCAACTAAGCAAGCTGCTAAATAGTTCACCATACATCTTGCCTTGGCTACCTGAAATTAGATTTAGGCCTATCAGGGGCTATAGGCTACCTGCATCTAGCTAACCAAACCATGGCAATGTTTAATTACAATCATAAACCCAGATGTTAGTCAGTAGCCTATGCCTATACAATGACAAGCCAATCTCGCAACTAGGCATTTTATAACGGTTTGTAGTCTGGCACATAAGGACACAATTGCCAGAAAATAGCCTAACATTCGTTTTTTGAAGTTCGTCCAAGTGTTTCTTGCGCAGATTTCGATCCTCTGTCCAACTTTCATCACTCAAACTCTCCTGTAGGATTTATCTATACCTATACACATGCGCAAATGCGATTTATTTACAATCATAGCAGTCAAACGAGTTAAATCGGCATCCATTGATGGAAAATGATCTGGCGAGTTTAATAATGGCAATTTATCTTTTCTCTTGCGACATGTTCAAATTTCTCGAATACATCAAGTTAGCTCGCAATAATTATTATTTTGATGGAAAACCTCATTTTGATTCTTACGTAGTTACGCCGATATTCCTTCTTAATTCGCTCGATAACGTTATGGAAAAAGGGTTTATTGGATAAACATGGCAACTCCTCTCTTACTGAGCCCCCCAAAAATTGGGGCTAGTTTTCAGGCCTTGTGGGCATGTTGAGTAGTCATTGTCCTATACATTTTTGCAAGACCTGGCAACCCTGCACATGAACCGACTCCCTGATAAAATAACAGTTAAATAAAAAAAACAAAAAACAAAAAAACATGAATCTAGTCTATTAGTCAAATCTCGTTACAACAACTGTATTTGGTACAAACCTGCTCTGTGTAGCTTTATCTCTGGTTTGCTAACCAAATCCAACAGCCTGCGTAGACGCTCGTTCTCCTCTGCTGAACGGCTGATTTCTTCCTGATACTCTGCTATAGTCTTCTCTACGGCCCCGAATATCTCCACAGCAGCCGCCGACAAACGCTCGGTAACAAACACATTCAACAACTGTAGTTTTGACATATTAGCAATGGTTATGAAAGTCTAGCTGTTCGCTTTATCAAATAAATGTTGGTTGAAACCTCTCTCTGATTCTGCCTAGCGTTTTTCTTCTTCTTCTTCGATTAGGTTTAACGGCGGTTGGCATCCAATAAATGTTGCATTACCGCCACCAACTAGATTGGAGTATAAATCCTTTACACTTGCATGAAAACCTGGAAGGATGGGACACCTAGCTTAGCAGCCGGTAGCAACCTTTGGACAAGAATGGACCAGTGGAGGCTCCTCTGAAGAGGAAGGGGAGGACCATCCTCCTCAGTGAATTTTATAAAATATATATTTTTAAACATTTAAAAAGTTATCATTTTTAGATAAAACGATACTAAATAGATTCAAGTCACCAAATAATTTATTAAAATACACTGTTTTGCATTGAAGGTAGCCTCAACAGCACTGTGTAGGGTATCGCCATTGTGTAGCCGGAGGACAGCTAACTCCAGTCCTCCTCTGGGTACATTGACTTCAATACAAAACCTAGGAGGCTCATGGTTCTCACCCCCTTCCATAGACTTACACAGTAATTATGACACCTTCCGGGGGATGTCCTCCAACCTATCAGAGCTCTTGCAGCATGAACTGACATGTTGTCCACCCAATCAAAGGATCAGAGAATGAATCTAGTACTGAAAGCATAAGCTACAGCTATTTATTACTGCAGTGCATAAAATGTGGTGAGTAGTTCACTAAAAGAGAGAGAAAGACAATAGTTGAACAGTTTTGAATAAATACATTTCTTCCAAAATGAAGGAGAAGCAAGAGCGTCATTTTTTCTTCAGTTTCACTTACTTAGCTAGCAAAAGCAGCTAGCTAGTTTAGCTTACTCAAACACAGGGATACTATGTTAGCTAGCTGGCTATGACTTTCCAACACAACACTGGAACTCTTCCAAGTCAAGGTAAGCTTTTGGTTTTGCTAATTTATTGCCACCGGGCCCCGACGGTGTAAGTGCTAAACTGCTTACTGACTACGCTGTAAAGTTACTGCATGATTGTAGCGGGTTTACTAACGCGTTAGTTCTATTAGCTATGTTGACTATGGCGTTACTTTAGCTAATATGGTGACAACGATCTAGGCGGTGTGTAGCGGATATGATACGGTTTGGCTTGGAAAGGTTTTTTCGCCTGGTCACATACAGCTGATGTGTTGAGCATTGAAATCCACAAGCGAATGGAAAAGGTGAGAGGAGGAGGGCACATACAGTGGGGAGAACAAGTATTTGATACACTGCCAATTTTGCAGGTTTTCCTACTTACAAAGCATGTAGAGGTCTGTAATTTTTATTATATGTACACTTCAACTGTGAGAGATGGAAAATCACATCGTATGATTTAAGTAATTCATTTGCATTTTATTGCATGACATAAGTATTTGATACATCAGAAAAGCAGAACTTAATATTTGGTACAGAAACCTTTGTTTGCAATTACAGAGATCATACGTTTCCTGTAGGTCTTGACCAGGTTTGCACACACTGCAGCAGGGATTTTGGCCCACTCCTCCATACAGACCTTCTCCAGAACCTTCAGGTTTCGGGGCTGTCGCTGGGCAATACGGACTTTCAGCTCCCTCCAAAGATGTTCTATTGGGTTCAGGTCTGGAGACTGGCTAGGCCACTCCAGGACCTTGAGATGCTTCTTACGGAGCCACTCCTTAGTTGCCCTGGCTGTGTGTTTCGGGTCGTTATCATGCTGGAAGACCCAGCCACGACCCATCTTCAATGCTCTTACTGAGGGAAGGAGGTTGTTGGCCAAGATCTCGCGATACATGGCCCCATCCATCCTCCCCTCAATACGGTGCAGTCGTCCTGTCCCCTTTGCACAAAAGCATCCCCAAAGAATGATGTTTCCACCTCCATGCTTCACAGTAGGGATGGTGTTCTTGGGGTTGTACTCATCCTTCTTCTTCCTCCAAACACGGCGAGTGGAGTTTAGACCAAAAAGCTATATTTTTGTCTCATCAGACCACAGGACCTTCTCCCATTCCTCCTCTGGATCATCCAGATGGTCATTGGCAAACTTCAGACGGGCCTGGACATGCTCTGGCTTGAGCAGGGGGACTTTGCGTGCGCTGCAGGATTTTAGTCCATGACGGCGTAGTGTGTTACTAATGGTTTTCTTTGAGACTGTTGTCCCAGCTCTCTTCAGGTCATTGACCAGATCCTGCCGTGTAGTTCTGGGCTGATCCCTCACCTTCCTCATGATCATTGATGCCCCACGAGGTGAGATCTTGCATGGAGCCCAAGACCGAGGGTGATTGACTGTCATCTTGAACTTCTTCCATTTTCTAATAATTGCGCCAACAGTTGTTGCCTTCTCACCAAGCTGCTTGCCTATTGTCCTGTAGCCCATCCCAGCCTTGTGCAGGTCTACAATTTTATCCCTGATGTCCTTACACAGCTCTATGGTCTTGGCCATTGTGGAGAGGTTGGAGTCTGTTTGATTGTGTGTGGACAGGTGTCTTTTATACAGGTAACGAGTTCAAACAGGTGCAGTTAATACAGGTAATGAGTGGAGAACAGGAGGGCTTCTTAAAGAAAAACTAACAGGTCTGTGCGAGCCGGAATTCTTACTGGTTGGTAGGTGATCAAATACTTATGTCATGCAATAAAATGCAAATTAATTACTTAAAAATCATACAATGTGATTTTCTGGATTTTTGTTTTAGATTCTGTCTCTCACAGTTAAAGTGTACCTATGATAAAAATTACAGACCTCTACATGCTTTGTAAGTAGGAAAACCTGCAAAATCGGCAGTGTATCAAATACTTGTTCTCCCCACTGTAGATGCGAGAAGGAATACAAAGTGGCTGCTATGAAAGTGAACTGTGTTTACGGGTGATCAGGGTGTATTCATTCCACCGATTCTGTTGAAAAACGTTTCTTAAACGGAAGCAAACAGAACAAAACGGGGATAAACATACCTGAATTTGTCCAATAGAAACTCTTGTTTGCAACTGTTGGACTAATGATTACACCCTAGATCAGCTAGATGCAGGCAAGAGTGTGCAAGGCAGTATTGAATGTGTCAGTCCATGTGTCACTGTCTGTCACCTAAAATGTTTCTCGTTGTGACAAACTGACACGTTTTCATTTTCGTCAACAACAACTTTATATGGAAGGAGTGCCTTTGATTTGACAGCCAGCACATGCGTAGTTCGGCACGAGACGACCCTTAGAACCGATTACGTGTTTCTGAGCATGAGCTTAGCTAGCCAACGTCACTATGACGTCACCAACAGGTGTGATACAGGATTTCTATTGGAGAAGCAGTTTCTGCCCCTCTTCATACTGTACTGTTTGGTGCACCTTTAAAACATAATGTCCCAGGAGACACCAGCTGGGAGGAGGTAAATGTTGACCCTAACCAGTAACACAGGGTCAGGGGTTCTATTCACAAAGCGTTTTAGAGTAGGGGTGCTGATCTAGGATCAGTTTAGCATTTTAAATTATAATGAATGGACAGGGGCAATCTGATCCTAGATCAGCACTCATCTGAGATCCTTTATGTCAATTATAATGAATGGACAGGGGCAATCTGATCCTAGATCAGCACTCATCTGAGATCCTTTATGAAAACGGGCCCAGATATTTTTCCATCTGCCTTATGGTTCAGGATAGGGTTGGGGTGGGAAGCAGGGAATAGAGCTAATAGGGGATGTATTAAACCTGCCTAATATCAACCATCACAGAAATCATGTTCAACAGAGAAAAATAGGGTTTCACTATGACATCCATTGAAAAAACGACTTAATTAAAACATAAATGATTTGCTGCATTATGTAGTCAACAAAGACGTAATAGGCTACTTTAATACTCTAACATGCAGCCGATAGAAGGTAGTGGCCCAAATATCCTGTATGTCATTGTTAAACAATTGAACAAGGACTCCTGTTGTTTAGAAATCCAAGTGTGTGCTCTGTGCTAGATACAGTGGTGAGGGCTTCCTGAAGCCAGCAGTGTCCTGGAGGGGTAGGTCCCTGAAAGTGAGAGCTAGATTAATCTTAAAAAGCTGATACTGAGTGATGCTTTTCCCTCCACACACATTACTTAATTTTTTCTGTTGTCAATTGCCAGAAAACAGAACATAATTATTCAGAAGTTGAATGTATTAAGAAAATCACAATGACAAAGTATTAATTTGTTGTTTTCATTTCAGGCTGACGCTTTTTCCGCAGTCAGTGCAGTAATATCATTTATGCCCTTTAGTATGAGTGCTCATATGTGATGTTAGGCGATGTTTATAACCAAAGCATTTGTCACATTATTTGCACTGGTAAGGTTTCTCCCCGGTGTGAACACGCTGATGACGTCTTAAATAGCTTAATGATATGTAACTTTTCCTGCATACAGGACAGCTATATGGTCTCTCTCCCGTATGAGCTCTCATATGCAATGTCAATTCTATCTTCTGGTTGAAGGCTTTGTCACAGTCTTTGCACTGATATGGTCTTTCTCCTGTGTGTATCCTTGAATGGATGGTCAAGTGTCCCTTCTGGTTAAACATTTTGCCACATTGTTTGCACTGATAGGGATTCTCTCCTGTGTGTACCCTTGTATGGATGGTCAAGTCGCGCTTCTGGATGAATCTTTTGCCACATTGTTTGCACAGATAAAGTTTCTCGCCTGTGTGTACCCTTGTATGTCTGTTCAAGTCACCCTTCTGGATGAAGCTTTTGCCACAATGTTTGCACAGATAAGCTTTCTCTCCTGTGTGTATCTTTAAATGCAAGGTCAAGTTTCCCTTATGTGTAAAGCTTTTGCCACATTGTTTACACCAATATGGTTTCTCCACTGCAGCAGAGAAGTCTGGATGAACTGAGAGGGGCTGCTCACTGGTTGGTTCTGGTACTCTGTAGCCCTCTCCATCAGGTTCTGTTTCGATCTCTTCAGTTATGATGATAGGTAGAGTGCCCCGCTCTCCGTCATCCACAGTTTGGTTTTGGTAAAGATGTGAGGGTTGAGGTG